GATCCGCCGCACCGCAAGATCACACCTACTACAAACGAAGCTCGGACGGAAGGAGGAAGGTGTCCGCGGACGAATTCTTGGAGAGATTAAGCGCGATTAACGCTAAACTTAAGCAGCTTAAGGACTGACTAACCGGCGCGCTCAAAATAGTGTCGGACTGGTGACATTTGCGTCGCGGCATTTTTTGTTAACTTTTTTTTGGTCGGAACATTCGCGTGGTGGATTATCTCGGAGAAATGATGCGCTCGTGTTTGGTTGTGTGAAGTGTTTGTGAGTAGTGCCGATCGATTTTGTAAAAATAAATTTTATTGTTATTTGTTTGAAAATCCTGTCGTGTTGATTTACTTCTGAAGTTCGAAGAGGAGTCATTCCTGAATTAAAGAGACACTTATTGAGAGGGATCTGTTCCGGTTTCAACGTTCAAATTGCGATGTAATTGCGATTCGTAAGAGCGTTGAAGAAAAGAGCCTTGTGTAATAATTGCACTCTTTAATGTTTTAGTTTTTCCATCAGATGAATATTATTAGATCTATAATGCCATATATATGAAAGACTATTTTATTTTTTTATTTTTCGAAGAGATGAGAGTATACAAATAGGACTGGCTCCTCTTTTTAGTTTTCCTTTAAAAAGAAAAAAAAGGAAAAAGAAAAAATTATTTGTAAAAAATGTATTTATACAACAAATTTCAATTAAATCCACGAAAGAATATCAACATTTTCAGAATTAAAAATGATGCTAGGTATTGCTGCATTAAAGAAAAAAGACAAAAAAATTGCAAATCTCTATTAAAGAATCTGAGGGATTGTGAAACGATTTTGATGAAAATCAACCCCTCATTGGTGGACTTCTAAAGATAATAACACATTAAGCAAACCCAAATCAATTTAGATTTCAGCCTCCTTTGATTTTGCATGTTATTTTTCAAAATATTTCCGAAAAATTAAACTACTTTTTGAATCAACTACCAAAATATTCATGTAATCAATGAAATTAATAGTAGTGATAAAAAAAATTCGATCGTTCAATGGGGATCGTTTCAAAAAATTCATGGGCGTTTTAAACATTTTAGGACAAATTCTCGAAAAGTCTCCGATCTCTGAATTGCAGTTTGTCAGCTTTTAATATAAAAATCTGGTCATAAGATGATTAGAATTAATTCAATAAAAGTACTAATCAATACAATAGATCTTGATCTAAAACTACACTGAGAAAAATATTGGTGTCCTTGTGTTACTTTTGGTTCATTTTGTTAGCAAAAAACAAACTAACCCAAATTTAATATTGATTTTTTCATACATACATTTGGCGTTGAACTTTGCACATAAAATAATTTAAAAACTACGAAACCCAAAATTAACTGAGGTTTTGAGTTTCTTTGTATTGCGCACTTCCAATATCAACTGGACGATAACCAGAACAGAAAGGAACCAAGCCACATCAGCTATTGTCAAATTTTATTGCCTAGTTTAATTTTTTACTTGAAAACAGTTGTGCGGATTTTCGTGCAAATTTCAGTGAATTTTTTCCACAGTACGAAGCAAATTCCTTAACATTTTCAAAAGGATCCGTACAAACGTTTTCTCGTAAAAAATTAAATTGCCCAATTAAAATTGGCAATAGCTGATGTGGCTTGGTTCCTTTCTGTTAAATACGGTCCAACTGAACTCTTATGTTATTTTTTCTCTGAGTGTGCTATAGCTGCATGTATAATAGCTGAACTGGTCGACGGTGAAACTGCAAAAATGCGTTTCTAGGTTGCGGTATTTTCAAATCTTCGCTCCTATGTTATTAATAAAATTCAAATAGGGCCAAACCAACCACATAACTTGAAATGCACAGAGAGAAAAGTCACTGTAGTTTTCAAAACATGACGTTCATTAATTTTGTATGTAAAAAATAACATTTGACAGGGAGTGAGCAACGCCGCAAATCGAGAAACGCATTTCTGCAGTTTCACCGTCGTAGTGAAGCACAAAAGTATAAATTTCCATCGACGCGACGTCGTGACAAGCGAGTCTCCTAATTTATCGCCACATGCAAAGCTGTTCCCTTGCGCCTGCAAATTGCAGATACGAAGATTTGAAGGCGCATCGAAGAGTGTGAGGCACCCAGGGTATTTGGCGCGGATTAGCTAGATTCCCGACCCTCGGCTCGGCTCGGCTCAAGACCTTGCCGTAGCCGCACTCAAGAAACTTTAAAGTTCAGTGTCAACTTTCTACGAAGAAGCCGTAATTCAAGTTCATAGCGCAAGGACAGTAAACGCCGTGCTCAGCTCCGCGGCCCAGGTCAATCTCGCGCGGTGTGGGGGGCGGCGAATTATTACCATTACGTAACGCTTTCACTTGGACCTAGTTTAGCGGAAAGCGTTAAAATTATTCGAACTGCACTTTTCATCTATCAACTTCACTTTATAGAAGGGTAAGTTTAAAGAAGGAATGATTGATAAGATTAATCCTTAATCCACCCCCATAGGATCAATCTAGTGTAAAAAGCTCCTTGTGTCTATATTACTTCGATAAATAAGTAATACATTATACGGATCGTTTTCAGCTAAAGGGACAAAGTTTTTTTTAGCTTTTTTTCAATTGTATCTCATTTTTTTATTTATTTCTTCCGAGGGTGCACTAACAAGATTGGCTCCGACGTTTTCTGAATGGAGAAATCTCGTAGAACTCAATACTGATACGTGCAGTAAGCTATTCTCAAAATTTACGTTGGTTTCGGGTGGATTTTGGTGCGAAAATGTGGGTTTTTAGTTATTTTGGCGACAAAGTTCACTTCCTACCTCACGACTTTCTACTTGATTCCATGTATTAAAACTATTTTTTCCTTGAAGGCACTTCTAAGAGGTCAGTCATTTCAGAGCTATCCGACGTTTGAGATCGGAAGTTAGACAGTAAGGTGCGTTGCGGTGCGTCGCCGAAATGATGGATTTCGGAAGAAAAAAAATGAAAAAATATGATACAAAATTAAAAAAGCGACAAAACTTTTGTTTCTTCAACTGAAAACGACCCATTAGTTCCATCAGATCAACAGAAATTAGATCCATGCTTTACGAGTTTATATGATTTTTTAAAGGAAATAATGGAGAATTTGCACGCAATTTTTTTATTGCTTCATCTGAAAGTGCCTAATGAGCTGAGTTCGCAATATTTTTCATAATTTTTTTCTGACACGGGAAATTGGAGAAAAATTGATTTAAAAGTGAGAAAATGTGCCGCCTTGTGACGTCATCTGGCGGCATTTCCCATTTAAACACATGTATTTTAGCAGAATCGGTTATTTTGTCATATCTCCTCTAATAATTGCTCGATTTATGAATCAAGGGTATCTTCGTGTTCAGTTCACTCAGAGGATTCCACTTAAACAGGAAATTCATCAAATTTCAGACCCTTGCAAATTCTCCATTAATACAAAACAAGTCAAAAGCACGGCCGAAACGTTTTATTGATCAATAACAATGGATTGATTACATTTTTCAACTGATTTTTTTTTTTTTTTTTTTTTTTTGGGGGGGGGGCTGAATTTTACCTTCAGGAACCAAATCCCTCACATATGCGAGAGCTTCATTCCGTCCGCAGTTAAATTACCTCGGTTGCTTAGGAGCAATACAGGCTCCGAGATGGAGTTCACTCCAGATTTCATTACGATTAGAGTGCCTTTATCAGGGGAAAATACGGACTTGTTGAAATATAGAGCTCTAGAGGCCCAAAAGGGCAGCCGACCCTAGCTATGACTTATGTTTTGCAATTTATGCATAAATCAGTCATACACGTATGTACTTTGCAAACAACGGGCCATAAAAATTGCAATGGGGATGTTGCATGTGTGAGGAATTTGCAATTTGATTATTGATTCTTTTATAAAAGTTCGCAAGAAACAAGATAGTGCCACTGGTTTTCCCTGAAATCAACTCCCAAGCTCAACAAAAGCTCTCAAGTTGAGGCCAAAATGGAGGGGATATCCCACGCTATCCAGAGAGTCCACCTCTACATCAAGACAAACTCTCCATGTAAAGACAGGGAGCAAATACATTGACAGGGCTGCCACTTTATTTGGGGACTCTAAAATTGAAAACGCGGCAACCCTGCTGATGTATTTGCTCCCTATCTTTACATGGATAGTTTGTCTGGATGTAGAGGTGGACTCTCATGATAGCGTGGGATATCCCCTGCATTACGCCCTCAACTTTGAGAGCTTTTGTTGAGCTTGGGAGTTGATTTCAAGGAAAAACAGTAGTATTATCGTGTTTCTCGCAAAATTTTACATTAAAATCAATAGTCAAATTGCAAATTCCTCACACATGACCATAATAAATCACCCTGAATAATTTAAATTCCTAGGTTGGCTGCTCTTTGGGGCCCTAAAAGCTCCATCACCTAACCTCAAAATGACCAGCACGTTCGTGCTCGCCCTGTATGCAAAGGTACGCTGACTAAGATTTGGACTACATTTTGCAATTTGGAACTATAAATTCTAGCCCGATTTAAAAACGACGTATGTGCCATTAGTTTCCCTATGCACATAAGTGTTTTTTCGGATGAGCCAGAATTTGTAGCTCCAAATTGCAAAATGCAGTTCATATATTCAACAGTGTACCTCGTTACAGGGTGAGAAGCTTCTATTAATATTCACTCGTGTGACACCACCCTCGCGCGGCTGCAACCTTCTTCCCTCAATGAAACGGATTGCGTGCGGGGTACCCCTCCGCCCTCCAATCAGCGGCAATAAAATCGATTAATTCCGGATCCAGTCACCGGTGCGGCGGCACGAGACCCGGCTGGACCGAGACAGGGAAGACTCACAGAGACGAATCACGTTCCCTGGAGCGCGGCGCGGCGTCCTTCAGCATCATCATCCTGTTAGCGAGTAATCGCCGCTCGCCGCCAGAACCGCGCAACCCCCCGCGCGAAGCCCCCGGAGATGCGCGGTTTTGAGTGTGGCTCGCGCCGCGCCGCGATCGGCCGCAACACCGCTTACGGCTCCAGCTCGCGGGGACCGTCCCATGCCAGTCGCACGCAAAACGCCGATCCCGCAGGCCGAAAATAACCGCTGCTCGACGCCGATGTGCTCCACGCTTGTCCCAGTTCCCTCGTGACTGAACGGAATTTCGCGGTTTTTTTTAACTGATTTTAATCAACTCGGATAATTTTAATATAGCCCAAAGTGTGATTTCATCGAAATCACCAAATTACTTTAACGTGGTGGGTTTTAAAGTTGTGAGCAAGTATACGTATAATAAATCGCTGGTTTTTTTTGCAGAGTTTAAAGTGTTACTTATCTTTTTTTGCCCCAGATAAACTTTTGACGGATCCTCGTCCATACGGTGAGTTTTAAAATGTGTTTATGTGTGACTGTCCGCAGGAGGAAGGACCTCAGTCCAATTTACGGGACAAATTTTTTAGTAAAGCTATCTGCGTCGTGTTCTGGTGTCCAAAAAAATAAGCTAGCAGCTATTCAGTTCGTTTTTGTGCAAATAAACGGTATAAAAGTCCATTATAATCTGATAATTTTGCACCCTGGACATTGTGATTATACTTTTAAAATAAATTTTAATATAACTACGTTGTTTAAAAATGGTATTCAAACTTGATATCTCCATAGTTGGCGCCATGGTTTGGTTAGTGTTTTTAAATTGTTGCAAGACACCCCTCTATGCTCGGGTATAGATAATTATTTTATTTCGAGTTTCGGTAGACTTAGGTCCTTTTTCCCTTGAACAGTCATCAATGGTCATCAATTGTTATCAATCATTATTAGGAAAATATAGGTACCGGCGTTAGGCGAGGAAGTTCCCCTGAATTTAAATTTGACCTTTTTTGGGAAGAAATTGTGGACGATTTTGATCAATTTTAAGGTTCCATTTAAGTTTCATCTGCAAGAGAGTGCAAACAAGTTAATTTGTAGGTTGTACGATGATCTTCGAAAAATCACACATGAGGTCTGTTGGCCATCGCTGCCATGCTAGGTAAAAAAGGCGTATGAACATTATTGCCAAACCTTCTTCTTCTTCTTCTTCTTCCTCTTCTACCAAATTTTCAAATGCGTTTTCCTCAGTACGGTATAAGCAGGAGACATAAATGAGTTAAAGTTTCTCCTCATGAACGGCATTTGCAATCGAGGCATGTCAGAATTAATTACGGATTTGGGTGAGCTATTAAACACCTATGTGTAATTATATGATAAAAACTGCTAGAACTTGAACATATGAGGCAAAACTGAAAAAAACAATGCATGAGGAGGGGGGTGGGAAGAATCATGCACGGAGCCCTTCAAAATGGTCACATGTTCGGACGCGTTTACCTCGCGAGCTTTGCGGGCAAAGAAAATCAAAACGCCTTCGGTTTCTTAGATATGCAACACAGACATCCTCAAAACACGAATAGTCGCATCCCGGCGCCGGTTGGCCGAAGATCTGTCCATCGATCGTGATGCGCTGATGGAGGAAGCATCATGTTATTTTTGCTTGTTGAGGAGATGCAATCTTTTTTCACTTTTCATATGCAAATAATTTGACCAAAAATGTTGGGAACAATCTCAATTAATTTTACTGTGATTATATTATTAGGTGATGAGAAGCACCGACAGGATTGTCAGTAACAAAACGCAACGGCTAACTTAAGAGGGAAAACGAGTAGAGAGAGCGAGAGAAGAGATACAATCAAAGGAGGTAAATGCAATTTAAAAACGTCCCTTTCTTAACATTTTTGTTACACTGTTCGTAATTAAAAAGCTTGGAAATTGCATTACAATGCTTAAATGACATGATCAAAAGCCTCCTGATATCGTGTACTTCCTTATGTTGCAGTAATTTTATTGCTTGGGCATTGAAAAATTTTAACTTTTCGAATTTTCTGTGAGTTAATCTCTACGATCACTCTCCTGCTTGGTAAAAAACTTCTTGTAGAAATTTGCAGAACCGCTGGTACATCATTATTCCAGTTTACGTGCTATGTAGGAAGTAAAGGTAAATTAATTAGAGGAAGTCGTGCGTCCGTAATCTTTTTCTATGAGAAAATAAGTTTTTTGTTCTATTTAGTGCTTTTCAAAATTTGCAGAGGTTATGATGGCAAATGGCAAGGCTCCGAAAAATTTTGGGTGAGTTGAGAGCCATGTCATTTAGTAATCTTGTAAGGAAGAAAAATATGAAAAAACAAATGGCAGAAGAAAATTTGTAACGATGGATTGTTTGGTTCCTGCAGATAGCCCTTGGGTGGAGGTTATATTTGTATTGAATCTCCCATGGGAATATCTTGGTGGTAGGGAATCCTCTTAATTTATGCTGGTTTTTTTGAAAATCACAAAGGTGTTGATGTACAATTTTTTCAAAAATTATAATAATGCGTATGGGAAATTCATTTTCGCAATGGCTCCAGTTAGTTTTCTTACATTTCAGTTACTTCACCACATCTCGCTTAAATGTTTATCATACTGCAAGTTGGATCGTTTATTTTCTTCTGTTTGTGGCAAATGAAATTGTCATGCCTGTTAAAATTTTCGCAGAAAAATGCTGGTAATAGACTGGACCACACGAACGTTATCCTGGGTGGGACAAGGGGGCAATCTTCCTCCCTTAAGTTTCAACGTTGACCCTTCTTTATGGACAAATTTTGCAAATTTTGATCCAATGTAGAATATTGTATGCGATTTTGCCTCCACCATCTCAACAATTTTTACCCCCATCCCCTCCCCAAAAAGTTTAGCTAAAATTACGCCTCTGCTACATCACCGTGTGTTCTTATTTGTTGTAGTGTATATATGATATCAGGATTTGTGGAAATTTTAAGAGGGAAAAAAATGCAATATTTTAAACAAAATTCAGACCTTTGCTTTATGAATTTAGCTGTTTTTTGTATGATCTAGCAACAATGGCAGCGTCAAAATTCATCCAGGACATTTCATTTTATGGCGTACGTGACAATCACGGATGGGATGTCCTAATTGTACGAGCCATTACCTTAACTTAAAAAGCAATGAGCTTTCAAGAGGACTCGGGACTTACATAACCCAGATTTCCCGTCAGGCTTTTACATATTGGAGCTCAGAATTCGTGTCGCCTACATTTTAGGAAGAATATTTACATTGCGATACTCTACTCACAACAACCTGTCTCTCAGTATTTCTTCGGCAACTTTGGATTGAAGTCAATCCAATAAAGAGTTCCTGTATAGAGAGAGTTGAGACAACGCGGCTTATGGATGTCACAAACGGGAATAAATATTACACAAATAGGACATTTTTTGTAATCTTTGATCAACTCATTTCCCGAATTCCTATCTTCGTTCCCTCTCTCATTCCATTTGTTCCTTGCCGTACCCCCAATTTCCTGGTTCATGCCAGTTTATAATCTTTGCAATTGGTGGAAATGTAATCATTATTCCCGCTTGTGACACTGTGAAGGCCTTAAACACGGGAACCAATCAGAAATGGCTTCGCATCTTCATTACGTTCAGTATAAAGGGACTCTAATTCAATAGACCATATTAAATTTTCTAAAGGGTTTTGCCTTTTTCTCAAAGTAACAGGAATTGAGGAGCTTTCCGGAAAAAGGGCACATAGCAAAAACTTACGTTTGAGAGAACATGCATTTGAAGTTTTGGTCATTACTCTATGGTCACTGACAGTGACTTTTGTTCGAAATCAGGCGTCCAAGCTGGGATGAAAGGTACAATCAGTGGCCAGAAATTAATGATGGAAACTTAAAAATGCATTTTTCTCAAACGCTATTTTTTGCTATGTGCCCTTTTTCCGGAAAGCTCCTCAATTATGTAATCCTTTTGAATTGTGCTATTTGTTATTTGAAAGGCCTTCTCTCTGAAATCTTCTTTTGGCCGCTAAAGTGTTCAGATTACCCTCGAGTGGTTATGTAATAGGTATAAATCGGAAGGAATCGCAAAGCCCCTGAGACGCTCCTGTCGATTCAGGGTGCCTTATTAAGCTCTATTAACTACGGAAGATGTCTCTTGAAACTTTCAAAGCCACTTCAGACGCAAGGCCAAGGTTTTTGAAAGTGGAGCCCTTTTAATATGTCATATGGAACGCGTATAGTAGAAAAGGACCAAACCACATCAGCTATTGCCAGATTTAACTGGGCGATTTATTTTTTACAAGAGAACCGTTGTACGGATTCCTTTGACAATTTGAAGGAATTTACCTCATATTGTGCAGAATGTTCACTGAAATTTGCACAGAAATCCGCACGACTGTTATCATGTAAAAAATAAAATTGCCCAATGAAATGTTGCAGTAACTGAAGTGGCTTATTTCTTTTCTGCTCGCATCGCAGTCCATATTATCGTGAATCTTATGCGTCTTAAAATAAATTGTGACAATCATGACGTAAGACAATCGTGCCGTAGTCATGTACTACGCACATTCTCCACTGAAACAAGTATCGGTTGTATCAAATTTGCGACCCAAACTATAGATTAATAAACGTTCCTCACGAAATCCTATACGGTAAAAAAGAAGAAAAAAATGTTGAAATGGACCTCTCATTTGTAAAATTTAGCGTCGAGTTCGACACTCCAAGAGATCACTCCATCCATTTCCAAAGTTTAACCTTTGAACTTTACTCAAGGTTTGTAAAAAGTACCTTTTTAATGATACAATTTTCAAAATCTCCTTAAACTCTCCTTAATCACAATGTGAACCATGCCGATAGCTGCATTCAAAAACCACGTATCTCCATTGCGGTGCTTCAAAATATCTGCTGTTATTTTTCCTTTCAAAGAGAAACAACCCATAATTGATACAGAATGTTCTGGCAACAGAGAGGAAATATCAAGATAGTTTTCATGAAATTACGTTGACTGGTTTTCCAAAGAGAAAATGAAGTATGACAGGAGGTCTGCGACGTTGCAAACGGAGGTACGTGGCTTCGCACGTAGGCCATCGATAAAGGCCTGTAGGCCAGTGTGAATCTATGGATACCCACGGCGATTAATCGCCGCGAGTGAAAGACGAAATCCAATGGAGAGCCTTGATTTCGATCCATTGACGTCGATATATCGAAATCCAGGCTCTCCATTGGCTTTCGTCTTTCACTCACGGCGATTAATCGCCGTGTGTATCTACGTCTTTAAACGCCTCCTAAGGGAGGGAGCTGTCTCAGGAGCGATTATGATTTCGGCTTTATTTGATCTTCGATATGGGTGGACCCAGACTCCTCGAACGGGGGGTGGGGGCGCAAGGGGGGTCTGGTGGGCGAAAATTTTAGAAATATTAAAGCATTTTATATGCAGTCTGAGTAAATTAGTTCATGAATAAGCACCATATATAAGCGCCTTTTCTTATTCTTTCCGCCCTTTCTTCCTTTTTTTCTTTTTTTCATTTTTCTTACTTCTTTTTTCCGGCCGAGAGGGGAGAGCTACGCCCCCCTCCCCCCTGGACCTGCCTACGCAATCCTCAGAGCCACCTGTAACTCGGTTTCCATTTTGCTCAACAGGTGCCTGCACGATAAAATGCCGACCCTCCCGATGGTCCTCGAAGTTCGAAAATCAGCGATGACGAAAGTGTACCGCGGCGGTGGTTTGACGTGAAGATGCTCTCGGCGCGGAAAAAAAGGCGGAGGAGAAGACTGTGGTCGAAGGTGCGGTGTTACATGTTCATCCTCCACATACTGCTCAAGTGAGCCCGCTTCATCTCTCGCGAGTCAATTTCACGATCTGAATCCGATTCCGACGCGCAATCGAGGATTCAACGCATAATGAAGTCGCTGAGGGATATGTTCGAGCGGATCGAGGTGAAGAACCAGCTGTGCACCGGCGAGGTGCGAGAGGCCAACTGCGACGTCTCCATCTGGATGCGCTCCTGCGAGAAGGAGGTCCTCCAGCCCATCGAAGGCACCGTCACAGGTCAGTCTGTAAACACGCCTTCAGTTTTTTGAGTATGCAACACGGACAGCCTCGATGCACGATTAGTTGGGCGTATTCTTTCCAAGTTTCTGGGGAACAAGAAGTCTTTTGGTTTTAAAACCTCTCTTTCATTCGTTATGAACATTCGCAATTTAAAATTTTATTTTTACAAACTGCTACAGGCTACAAGATTTGATTCTTTATTTCTAACCATAATACGAATCATATTCATCGTAGGAACGAATATTTATTTTATTCAATTTTTTTAAAACTTCAAGGACTTAGCCCTTTTCTTTTGAATGCAAAAAGTCAAATCAACCAAGAATCAAGAGAAAGGGCCTGAGAGGGCTCCCTTAAGTTGGTTCTCTCTCAGATTCCTGATTGGTGAAATAAGTTCAAAGAAAGAATTTGTATGCGTACTGCTCAGTGAAGTTTACGGAGTTCTGTCGAGGCTTTCCTCAATGGCCTCAATCTTTAATGGAGATGTTGCATGTGTGAGGAATTTGTGATTTGGCTGTTGATTCTTATGTAAAAGTTCGAGAGAAACACAATGGTGCCTCTGGTTTTCTCTGAAATCAACTCCCAAGCTCAAAAAAAAGCTCTCAAGTTGAGGCCAAAATGGAGGGGATATCCGACCCTACCCTGAGAGTCCACGTCTACATCAAGACAAACTCTCCATGCAAAGATAGGGAGCAAATACAGTGACAGGGCTGCCGCTTTATTAGGGGACTCCAAAACTGAAAACACGGCAACCCTGCTAATTTATTTGCTGCCTATCTTTGCATGGAGAGTTTGTCTTGATGTAGACGTGGACTCTCAGGGTAGGGTGGGATATCACCTCCATTACGCCCTCAACCTCGAGAGCTTTTGTTGAGCTCGGGAGTTGATTTCAGGGAAAACCAGTGGCATCATCGTGTCTCTCGCGAACTTTTACAGAAGAATCAACAGTCAAATCGCAAATTCTTCACACATGCAACATCTCCATTTTACCCTCAAGTAAGTGTGTTCTTATTAAACATTACACTTCTTTTTTTACCGGATCTATCCCGGTGATTTGACTCCAGGTACGGTACCGGAATGGTTGCGAGGTTCGCTGCTGCGGAACGGCCCGGGAAATATGAAGTTTGGAAATATGAAATTCAAGCACCTGTTTGATTGCTCCGCACTTATTCACAGGTGAGGATCATATATTCAGTGGCGAGGCGTGAATGATCGATTATTGATATTTCCCCATTTGAAACTGTGATACTGAATCGCATATTAAGGTGTTAGTTACGAACACCGTTTATCGATCCTTTTCCATAAGTTTAAATGACAGATCAATCGATTTATCGCAAAGTACGCCACACCACTGTTATATATATCATATCACATCAATAAGACTGCTCACAGATTTTTTGCCACTAGATTCTCGATGATTAAATCAATTTTTCTAATACCACTATCTCTATTCATAATATATCCTGTGAGCGGCAGAATACGGCAACGGGTCATTAGCTTTTGTGACGAACTTAGTGTTGGAACTCGAGGTGAATGACTTTTAATGACATGCGAGGGTGTATTGGTCGGTGTGTCATTGTATCAGCAGCAACACGTTCCTATTCAAAGATTGAAGACTTCCCGAATTATGATTCAAAATTATGTATAAAAGTTAGCAGGTTGCAGGTATGCTCAGTTTTAATGGAATTAAACTGAAGATGTATCGATGTTCGGTCGTCCAACGCTTTTATTTACTTGGGTATGCAAGGTTATAGGACATTTTGTCAACGATTTTTTGTCCGCGCACCTGTTTTTTCCAGTAATTTACGTCCACACGTTTTTTCGCGGTTTTGGTCCACGTGCCAGTTAAGACCCAAAGTTAATTGGCCCACATGTAAATAATAACGACTATAGCTCAAGACGCTTTTGGATGAAAATGTAAAGAAGAATGAGGGTTCGCTTGCTTTTCTGTTTTGTCTGTTTGGTCCAACGGAGAATAATATATAGTTGAGAGTTTTGGTAAAAATTGGAGAGCGTCAATTCCATGGGACAAAATTCACTAAAACTCTCTACACCTCTTTGGTGTAACACTCTTTTATCTTTCAAGATTTTCCCACCTTGTTATACCTGAACCGGATAAACCTCTATATTTGCCTCAGCTAAAGGCTCTAAGATTTTTCCAGTGTACGATAAGTATCTTGATTTATTTTGCGAGGAAATATTTGTACTTTTAAAGGATGCATGCAGCTGTCATTCTTAATACGTTCAATTTCGTATAATACTGTGCAACACCTCTGTTGTGAAATAGTTGCTTCAGGCTCCGCCGCACGGCTGGCGGGCGGCCAGCGCGAAACGCGCATTGGCGCCTACAAACCTAAGTGGATACTTCAAGCATTGTGCAATGCGTGAAGTATCCACTTAGGTTTGTAGGCGCCAGTGAGCCGCTCGCGCTGGAAGCCAGCGCGCCGCTCCGCTCTGTTAGGCTTTACTCGCACAGTCAGCGTTTTTTAACTCATAATTTTGAAATGTTTGCGCACTCTGCATTGATTATTCTCATATAAATTGATGGGGAAAAATATGTATCAATGTATCAAAGGAGAATAATAACATAATGTGTGTTTTTTAAATATTGGTGGATCCGTGTCCAATTTAATGATTTCCAAAGCACTTTAATTTTTTCTTTTAAGTTTTGTGCTTTTATTGTGCTGCAGCGAGGTGCAACCAAACGCTCAAAATTTGACGTAATTGACTCTAAAAGATCGATGTACAGATGGGTTAAAACTAAAGACTGAGTGCTTCTCGGTTTTTCCCCCTCTTTTATTCATTTTTGCAGTTTCTGTCGGCACAACTGCGTCTTATTGATATTAATGTCGCTTGGAAAAGGTTTTACAATTATCTGTCACGTTTTAAAAATATGAATGTTTCCAAAATGAAGTAATATTTGTAAAAAGAAAAAATTAAAAAAATAAAAAAAGTACCTATACATACATAAAATATATATTACATCAAATATTTTAAAGATAGAAATAAAACCAAATATTCACCAATAACAATTTAAAAAGATGGTTCAAAAGGAGAAAGTAATAACATTTCATTTAGAAAATGGGCAACCATGACAACACCTCCTCTCTCAATTTTCCATTTCCATATTGTCAATATAATTTTACATACCGACTAAAATATAACGCTTGGACCAAGTCACCGTTGCTTATTTTACGTGTGGGCGTAAACTACTGGACAAAAAAGGTGCGCGGACAAAAAATCGTTGACAAAATGTCCTGAAACCGTATGCAATTCTATTCCGAGCCGCATGAAAAGTTGCATCGTACAAGCCGTCCGTGTCTTCAAACAGAGTTTAGGGGGATCACAGACTTGAGAGGTTGAAAACCTTCATAATGACAGGGAAAGCTATAGGTATTTTCCATGTAAAATTCTGCATGCGACCTTTTTATGAAGGGTCAGAGGGTAAGTGGTATAAATTATTAAAGGAAAATTCAGGTATTTCGGAGTTGCAAACTATCTGTCATCTAAACGACGAATGGGTAAATATTTGTACTTAGAGTTAATGGTTTTTTTTTTTTTTTTTTTTTTTTTTTTTTTTTTGCATATTATGATACAAAAAACTGAAAGTGCTTACTTTTCTATCTAGATTTTCAATTGCTGATGGTAAAATTACCTACCAAAACAGGTTCCTGCAAACCAAAGCATTCAAGAAAAACAGTTCTGCAAACAGAATCATTGTGACTGAATTTGGCACCAAAGCTGTCCCTGATCCGTGCCATTCAATTTTTAAAAGGTATTTTTTAAATTTATTTAATATTTTATCATATGAGAGAGAAGAATGCATGGCGAAGACAATTTTTAAAATAAACAATTTTAATTTACATGCTAATCATTCACTTTACAAAAATGAAAAATTCAAAAGTTCTATTTAATACCAAGCGAAAGGCCATATCGGAATCGGTGCATAGGCATCGATTTATAGGAAAATGATTTCACTGCATTACTGTGCATGCCTGTCATTAAAGGATTTTTGGCAAGACATCTAATTATCACTTTGTGACTGTGTGTCGATTGAGGGCAAAAAATCTTTCCATACAACTATTACAACTCCTGAGTATCCAATTTTGCCTAGTTCATCAGATGAAGGCGAAACAGAGGCACGTGATATAGATCCTCACGTATCCCATTTGAAGCTATGGTAAAGAATCGATTATTGAGGTGTTCAGTGCGAACACCCTGTTTATCAATCCTTTTCCATAGGTTTAAATGGCAAATCGATCGATACATCGCAAAGCACGCCACGCCACTGATAGCCTGGACTGTAGCCATTGATACTTGGCGTTTCAATTAGGACTCATGTCATACGGACCGTGTTAAACAGAGAGGAACTAAGCCACATCAGCTATTGGCAAATTTAATTGGGCAGTTTAATTTTTTACATGAAAACGGTTGTGCGGATTTTCGCGCTAATTTCAGCGAATTTTCTCTATCATACGATGCAAATTCCTTAAAATTTTCAAAGGAATCCGCACAAACGTTCTCTCTTTACAAATTAAATTGCCCAGTTAAATTTGGCAATAGCTGAAGTGGCTTGGTTCCTTTCTGTTAAACGTGGTCCATATTATTTCCAGTATTTTTACCCCAAAAAAATTGAATGAGGAGATGGTGACGGTAGGGTATATTTTACTCGGAGATCATTTCAAACCGCCGCGAGGTGGTAAGAGGAAAAACATAGCAAATTGCTGGTGAAATTGCTGATACAGCGGCTTGATAATTACAGAGAAACACGGATAAGTTGATTGGGTTTGTTGGGGTAGTTTGAGCGGTCTGTATTCTAGATCCGATTAGAGTTGGTTATGCTAATCTCGTTTCCAGGGTATCATCCGTGTTCAATCCCTCGGAATGCTGGTCGGACAACGCGCTTGTTTCCATCTACCCAATCGCTGATCAATATTACGCCTTCACCGAGGTCCCCGTCATCCACCGCATCCAGCCGGACACCCTGAAAACGCTCCAGAGGGTGGGTATGAGTTGTACGGTCAAAGGGAGAACAGGGACGTATCTGCCGTGCTAGAAAACACCGTATGAACCTCCAAGCGTTGCCAAATTTCTTTTAGAAAATCAGGAATTTTAGGGAAAATTTGCATAAAAATTCGTCTACATTTTCAGATAATTTTGTTTGCAATTTCATCTTAAGCTCTTGAAAATTTCAAAAAAAATGTCCATTTTTTCCTGAAAAATAAACATTTTACCGAGGGAAATTTGGCAACTCTCCAGTATTCATACGGCGTTCTTCCTTATCACGGCAGTTACAGTGATAAAATGAGATTAGATTACTCTGTTGGAGGGCTAAAGTTATATCATTTGGCCAAAAAAGAAAAAAACTTTGAGTTTCAATTTGGAAAGAGGACAGAAATGCGAAGTCTCCGATCTATCGAAAGTGATTCTTGTATCGAAGAGATCGATCAATATAATCTATGTTCGATGAACTCACTATAGATAGCATGTCACGTTTTTTTTTTTTAAAAAAAAAAACAAAGCCGATAGACTTATGTCCGGAATCCACAGGGCAAGAAAAAAACCTTACGAATTTCTTTACTGGACTCATTATGAAAATCTCATTTCATCTCACCGACCCTCTTTTGCATCGCTAGTTTCTAATTTTCTATAAAGGTTCAATGAGATGGTTCACTTAAAAAAAAAACCCCTACTTACGTGTTTCTAATCCTTAAATGCCCAACTTGGGTTAAATTGACCCAAAGCTTGCCCCGCGGATTATATGAGGCCGGTAAATACGAGTTTTAGATACCTACAACGACAAATACATCGTAAAAAAGAATCAATCAGCTCGAGACTAGAGAGAGAAAAATCGAATGTCATCTAAGTCAAAGACAGGAGAGACTTGTCGAGCCCAGTTGTTTAACTTTTCTCCGGAACACGAGCGACACCTCATTGACAGTAGAGTCCCTTTATACTGAGAGTCAAGACAATGCGAATCCATTTCTGATTGGTTAACCGGATTTTAGGCCTTCACAGTGTCACAAACGGGAATGAAGATTACATTTTCACCATTGCAAAGATTATAATCTGGAATGGACCGAGAAATTTCGGGTTCGACAAGGAACAAACGGAATGAGAGAAGGAACGGAGAAAGGAATTTAAGAATGAGCCGATCAAAGATTACGAAAAACGTTCAATTTGTGTAATCTTTATTCCCGTTTGTGACTCCATGAGAGGTGTTGCCTTGACTCTCAGTATAAAGGGACTCTAATTGACAGCAGAGCGGAGTATTGTGAGTTCACGCCGTGCGCCGTCGCGCCTTCAATTTTGCAGATGCAACACGGACAGTCATCAAGCACGAATAGTTGTATCTCTGCGCCGTCATCAGCGTTTGTTCTATTCTTTGCTCTGCTTCCATATTGTAGTGGTACCGTTTGTCTTGTTAGTGTGAAAGCGCCAGTATGTTATAAAAAAAGTGGAACTTAAACCAAACAAAAACAAAAAAAATATTTGCTTGCCTAATACCATTGATAATGCTCAAAAACTATCAATTTAATCAATGTAATGAATGGGCCTGTTGCAAACTTTTGCTAGAGCAGAATGAAGAGTTGTTTCCTATAGATAATGCCTCAAAAATCACGATGAGCGCATCGGCAAAGTCTGAAATGCACTCATAAATTCACAATCTGCGTTAGAAATTTGCGTTATTTTGAGCTTCCCGCTTCAAAAACGATACTACTGCACAGGTGAACATTTTGTTAGAGGAGTCGCTCCATCGTCGGCAATATTCATCATGGCCAACGCTTGCGCAGTTCCTCGCGTAGTTCGAGGAGAGTTCAAGGTCAATTAAGGCGGGCGAGGAAAATATGAACGTAAACACGCCGATTGTTAAATGGTTTAATCCTGTTCAGGTGTTATCTCGTCCCATCACACGTGTTTTGGCGGACTGGCGTCGGCCATGATGAGTATTGTCGCCAATGGAACGACTCCTCTAACAAAATGTTCACCTGTACCGTAGTATCGTTTTCGAAGCGGGAAGCTCAAAAAACCGCAAAAATCTTACGCAGATTGTGAAGTTATGAGTGCATTTCAGACTTTGCCGATGCGCTCATCGTGATTTTTGAGGCATTATTTGCAGGAAACAACTCTTAGTTTTGCTCTAGCAAAAGTTTGCAACAGGCCCATTACGGGTCAGTTTGACCCAAATTTGGACTCAGCGTATAAAAAAATCTTGGACATCTTAGGGTTAATTTGAATTTTTTGCGGCAATTTACAATCCATGGACCTTAAATTCAGTTTTACTCGTCCCTCGAGAAATGTTCAGTATCCGAGCGGAATTTTATTTTTTCTTTTTTTTTCGATGAAATTGAATTTTCGGTGTAACATACCTTTCGTAAATATGTAACTCTGCTTGTTGGATTTTACTCTCTTCTTTTCTCTTTGGAAATTATTACTTTCTGAGTTGAGTCCTTTCCGGAGCAAAGCATTCAATGAAATAATTTATTCGGCATTTGAGAAGAAAAGGTCTCAAGTTATATGATCTACGTAGGTATTTAATCCATATATCAAGTTTAATTATTGCAGGAGGGGGGGGGCAGACTTGAGAAAAAAATAGAAGTTGGAAACGGGAAAAATCTATGACGCGTGAGTAGAAATAAACAATGTACATCATGCTTAAAATATTGTAATACTAATGGAATCTTTGATTATACCTCTTCCACAGATCAATGTCAGTAATTACATCAACATCGTGAATCATACATCGCACCCTCACATAGATAAAGATGGCACCGTCTACAATCTTGGAATGACTTTACAACCTGCAGGACCTCGATATATCATCATACAATTTCCAAGAACGAGCTCAAAATGTAAGAAACACACTTTTACGAGTAGCGGTACAAGTAGTAAACGTACAAAGTAGTACACATAAAACGCCTTCAGAGAGTTGAGTATGTAATGAGCTGGAATCAGCACGCACAACATATTCGTAACAACAATTGCTGCAGACGCAGCAGAAGGCGAATTGTTCAGTTAAAAAAAAGAGAATGAGATTTGCATGTAACGAGATGGTATGTATTTGATCGACATGAATCGAACGAAAAATAAAAACGTGAACCGATGGGAAAATAAATAAAAAAGCCGGTCAAAATCAGTAGAAAACTTGCATTTAATATGAAAATTTCAAACCGCGCTATCTCGAAATTAGGATCAGCCAAGATTTTGATTTTGAGCCACACGTAGGTACCATAGACGGAGACGCACCCCCTGCAAACCGTTTTTTGGGTATATTTTCGTCGCAATTGTTTTTGCTTTAAGACCACTATGCCGAGTCGCGCAGTCATGCTGACTGGGGTTAATGAGGCAGATTTGAACTTCGTACTAAAATGTGCTTCTTTTTCCAGATGATGATAACAACAACAACATCACTCAAGAGGACGACTCGAACAACCTGTGGAAGGACAAACGGCGGAAGGATGCGTCAGGGACGGGCGAGGACCGGAGCGCCTTCGAGGAAGCTCGGATCGTGGGGTCGGTCCCTGTCCGCTGGACGCTCTACCCCTCGTACATGCACAGCTTCGGCATGACCCAAAACTACTTCATCATCGTCGAGCAGCCCATCTGCGTCTCCGCCGTCAAAGCCGCTGCCTGCATCATCGCTAATGACCCGGTCGTCAAAACCTTCAAGTGGTTCGAGAAAGAAAAGGTAAAATTCGTCGCTGGTAAACATGAGTACATTGAAGTCGCTTTTTGACGGTGAAAAGAGTCCCTTTATACTGAGAATAAAGACAATGCGAATCCATTTCTGATCGGTTCCCGTATTTTCGGCCTTCACAGTGTCACAAAAGGGAATAAATGGACGGAGGTAAACAGAAAGGAACCAAGCCACATCGGGATCGAACCGAGAAAAAGAGGTTTAAAGTTTGGCTCCTGCATAAGACTCAATGTGAAAGATAAACTTCAAATTCAATTTCTGCAAAATTTGCTCCAACAAATAAACTTTGAATTTTTGGCGATAGATAGTAGAGTAGTGGTTGAGTTCAGAACCACTCATAACTCAATTTTTTCCAAAATGTGGGTTGGTTCCTTTCTGCTTAACTCAGCCCAAATATTGCAGTTTCACCGATTGCAAAGATTATAATCCGGGATGGACCGGGGAATCGGGGGCTCGGCAAGGAACAAATGGACGTATTTCTTTCAAACGGAACTAAGCGCCAATTTGAGTTCCTTTTGAGAATTTAGAATGCCGGATAGCGCGTTCTGTCAAACGGAACCAAGCGCCATGGAAAAAGCATTGCGAGTATAGGACGGAATGAGCCCGACGCTCGATTCCACCGCCAATCCAAGCTCCCCTCTACCTTCCTCCTACCATGGCGCTTAGTTCCGTTTGACAGAAATACGTCCAAATGGAATGGAAGAGGGAACGGAGACGGGAATTCGGGAATGGGTTGATCAAAGATTACAAAAAACGGCCGATTTGTGCAACATTTATTCCCGTTTGAGACATCCATAAGCCGCGTGGTCTCAAATCTCTCTATAAAAGGACTCTAGGTGAGACCGCCAGACCACGCGCTTCGGTTTGCAACGTTGCAGACTTCCTGTCATACTTTATTTTTTAAATAGGAAATCACCCAACGTCAACTCTTGAAAACTTCTGTGTTTTATCTCCTCTGTGCGAGAGAAACTCTATGAAAACTTCAAGGGATGATACTGGTTTGTTTTCCATTAAAAAAATAAATTGAGAGCGGAGATTTTCAAACACCGAAAACGAAACACGTGGTCTGGTAGTTTCACCGTTCTTTTACACTGCTCCAAAAAAAAATTTGAGTCCGCGTGACCACCAGTTCTTTCCGGGCTTCCTTTTCAGCCAATCAGACATCCGATGACCACTTTTTCATTTCTTAAGGAAAAGAACACGGGAAATCGGAACTATTTATTTTTTTCGAATTCAGTCAATTTTTCGGCCAAAATATATTTTCCACCGGCTCTTCGAGGATTTGGCTTTCCTCTGTCATTCCTAACAAACACGTCAGATCGACACTATAAGCGAAGAGGAGGACGCCCCACAATATTAATACTATACGTAAAAAAGAAAACTATAGAGTAAAATACCCACTTACTAAAAATAACAGTAGGTCTTGTGTTTCGTTTAATTGACTTTATCGATGCTTATGCATGAGCAAGCATTGTTTGCACTAATTGCTTTCAACACTTTCTTCGGTGTACCTTTAATCCGATTTGAAGGGGTGGATTCTACGCAGTATTGCCAGTTCTTAGGTGAACTCCCTTACTTTCATCGTTTCTGAGGGGAAAATCGAGTTTTCTCTGGAAATATGGTGACTCCGATTTCATGGGCTCTCGTGACGAGACACAGCGATGGTTTCTAGGCCACGGCTGGAATGGATACCTTATAAGCTGGTGACCTTCCGTTACTTTCATTTTCAATGGCACGCGTAGTTCCAGGACATGCATTTCACCCTACATTCTCCCTAAAAATTGAACCCAGGGGCGTTTTCCTCGTGTCAGTTAGAGAAACAAGGTTTCCTCAATAGGAATTTTTTATAAAATACAAAAAAAGAATAAAATAATAATTGTGATTTGTCTAATTTTTTTATTATTATTTATTTTTTTTATTATTATTATTTTTACATTTCAAATATCACTGGGGGATAATCTCACGCTTGCCGTCCCTGAGGTCTCATTCTTCCTCAGTCCCTAAACAAGCTAGCCTCAGGTATCCGTTGTTTAAGACTATCAAACTCGGGTCAAAAACCGGGAATCGAACCCGAGATCTCCTGATCATAGAGCAAGCGCTACAACCTGCTCACCACAAAAGGCCGACAAAAAATTACTGAATTACTGTAAAAAGCATACAAATTGCAATTAAAAATACCTTGATATAATTTTTTTTTCGGTCGTGTTTTTGTCACTCAGAACTTTTGTAGTGCCCTAAAAGCAGCCCGGTAGTGGCTATTATCTAGAATGTATAAACATGAAGAGGTGAAAACCAGAGGGGTGTTTGCTTCGATTGCATTGCAACGTATAAGATACTCGCCGAGCAACTACTTATCTACAGTAGTTGTTAAAAAAAAAAAAAAACCTATGACGGTAAAGACGAAGCTGTCGAAGTCAAAAGGCTAGGACCAATTACTTTCCTTGTCTAAAATCACTGATATACCACGTACGAAAGGCTTTAAAGTGATCCTTGTGATGTACAAGCTTTTACGAGTGCCAACGGGAAATGAGTAAGATGATAGATCTTGCATGCCTAAAGGTCCGAAAGAATCAGTTTTAATTTCGAATGCCCTTTCCAATTTGTTCTAGACAATGTTTTACGTTATTTCGCGAGCGACAGGAAAGTTGGTGAGGAGTTTTTCAGCAGAGGCCTTCTTCTATTTGCACATTATCAATCAGTATGAAGAACAAGGCCACATTGTCATTGATATTTGTTGCTACAAAAATCCCTCCATGCTTGACTGCATGTATTTCGATGCCTTGAAGGTAGGTGGACCCAACATTGCATATTTAAGTGTCATAATAATTAGTAGTATGTATAATTAACTCCTCGCCCAAGTAGCATACTTCAATTAAAATATCGAAATCAAATTTCGATTTAATGGAATAAAATTGCATTTTTTTTACCATAAATTTAAATCCTTAAGATCATTTGGTCAATGAATGTCGATTTGAGAAAATCCACAAAATGAGTTTCATGTGTCAGAAAAGGTAGGCAACATGTAATGAAATGAAAAATTGCGCCTTTTTTCAATTTTATTGCAATTAGGTAATTCTGATGAGAGAGTTCCTTCAACCAGTGGATAGGCAACATACGCAACACTCCGATGCAGTGGAAATAATAATTACTGTGTAATTGCAATTTATTGCTTCTATCTTAGTAATAAGCCACTGGGGCGGTTTGATCGAAAACGACTCATCTCCGGAAAAAAACGACGCCAAATTGTACCTGCCCACGGTGCGCTGTAAACAAATCGGATACTTAAGTTACCGATTAATATTGAGTCATAATATTGTTTCCGATGAAGTTTCTGATTCAAAAAACAAGAAAAAAATCACTCGCAACTTTATAATTTTTATTTCTGAAAATTTAAAATCATTATTGATATTAACATTGCAAGTGAGATTTTATTATTTGTATTTTAAACTTTCTTGTGCGGCCTCCGCTCCGATCCTGTAAATTCGGAACGTAACTTTGAAAATGTCAAAATCCAATACGAATACAACGAAATTCGACGAACACATGGAATCCTGTATTTCTAATTTCTTGATTTCTTCTAAAATTAATATTTCCAATTTCAGAATGCATCCTCCAATCCAAACTACGCCAAAATGTTTCGAGGAAGACCGCTGCGGTACATATTACCTATGGGGAAGATTCCTAATAACAAGAACACCAACCTAGTAAAACTGCCAACCGCCAGAGCCACGGCCTTCCAACAATCGAAAAGCACGGTATCGTTGTTCCCAGAGCTCCTCAGTAACATAGGCTGTGAAACCCCACGTATCAACTACGATCGCTGCGGTGGAAAAAAATACCGGTATTTTTACGCCATTTCCTCAGACGTTGACTTGGAAAACCCCGGAACGGTAAGGGCCTTTGAGTCGTTGTTGACATGCACTCAATGGAGCTCTTGCATGTTTGAGAGAATGGAGGTGTTGCATATGTGAGGAATTTGCGATTTGACTATTGATTCTCATGCAAAAGTTTGCGAGAAACACGATGATGCCACTGGTTTTCTCTGAAATCAATTCCCAAGCTCAATAAAAGCTCTCAAGTTGAGGCCAATATGGAGGGGATATCCCACGCTATCCTGAGAGTCCACCTCTACATCAAGACAAACTCTCCATGCAAAGATAGGGACCAAATACATTGACAGGGCTAACACTTTATTTGGGGACTCTGAAACTGAAAACACGGCAACCCTGCTAATGTAGCAAACTCTAGCTCTCTGTAGCTGCTAGGGAGCAAACTCCCTATCTTTGCATGGAGAGTTCGTCTTGATGTAGAGGTGGACTCTCAGGATAGCGTGGGATATCCCCTCCATGTTGGCCTCAATTTGAGAGCCTTGGTGTTGAGCTTGGAAGTTGATTTCAGAGAAAACCACTGGCATCATCGTGTTCCTCGCGAACTTTTACATAAGAATCAATAGTCAAATCGCAAATTCCTTACACATGCAACATATTATCTCCATTGCGCTTTGAGTACCTTTTCTCACGTAATATTTCGCGAGAAATACGGTGGTGCCACTAATTTTTTCTTAGATCAACTCCAAAGTTTAAAAGAAGAGACCCCTTAAAGTTAAGGCCGTATTGGAGGGGATATCCCACTTCATCATGAGAGTCCACCTCTGTATCAATGCAAACTCACCATACAAAGATGGTTGCGACAGGAATGCCCCCTTTTTTTACCTTTTTGGAGATGCATAGGATTGCGAGAATTTTTCGGGTATTGAAAACTCACACGTTTCCGCGAATATTCAATATTCAACGAGGAATCGTTCATCTGGCAAACTTGGTAGTTTGTGGTAGATAACTATATCAATGAGGACTGTTCATTCCCTCCTCACTTACGGGCATGTCTCTCTTCGATGGATATAGCCCTCGCAGCACGAATGGTCCAGAGAGCTTTCTTAAACTTTTAAAAAGTGAACTAGGGCCTGTGACAGCTATGCGGCCACAAACCACTAAAAAAAACTACACGTAAAAAATCGTAGAACAACAATGTTCAAGTTTTTTAAGAGATAAATGGATTCAAAACCCGACGAGTGCACTCAAAAGAAAGCGTATATTTATCTCTGATTGGAACGTTATGCTCCACTTTTATGTTTTAGTTTTAATAAATGTTTTTAAAAAGCCACTCACAGTTTTTCTGAAAAGTATATCCGTAAATTTACCTCGATGATCTCAAATAAAAATAGGTATCGAACATTTCGACGCGATATTTTCGTTCGTTTATCTTCTTTTAATATAACCAAAAAAAAATAATTAAATATCATCCGAGTATCTGAAATCGTTGTATTGAGGATACATATTTTCCCTATAATGATGGTAAAAACTGGAGCAGAAAATCAAGAATGATGACACGCAGCAGCATTCCTACAATCTTGTCGGCGCTAATATGCGGTTCACGCCGACTGACTGACTGCACTGCGTTTGGCGTAATGCGAGAAGTATTCATGCAGTCTTGTAGGCGCTAATATGGGCTTGAAGCCGACCGCACTAATTGGAGCAATGCGTGAGGTATTCCTACAATCTTACAGGCGCTAATATATACGTTTAAAGCCGGCCGCACTGTGTTTGGCGCGATTATTCGAACTCTAGTTAGAATAATCGCGACATCGAATATAGAGCTTAAAAGACCTATGTTGTGTTTCGACGCCGTATGAACATTCCAACGTTGCCTCGATTCACCGATTACATTTTTCCGAGAAAAATTAGGAAAGTTCTTTAAACCCACGACCATTATTCAATATTTTCACTTTAATTATCATCAAAAGGTAAGACATCGATGACTTGTCAACAAACTAACCTAAAGTAGCGTTAACATAAAAATGCGATTATTTTCCGACTGTTTCCTGATTTGCCAAACTTTTACCTCAAATTAACCTCATATTAAATTCGCGCATTTCTGTAGCAGATATGAAGGTTTCTATTCACGCAATCCTTGTGCCTTTTTCGCGCAATCGTCGTATATTTTCTTAAACCTTTCGCGCAAATCTGGGTTACCGACAAAAATAGGGGGCGAATACATTAGCAGGGTTGCCGTCTTTTCAGTTTTGGAGTCCCGAAACAAATTGGCAATCCTGTTAATGTATTTCCTCTCTATCTATGCATGAAGAGTTTGTCTTGATATAGAGGTTGACTCTCGTGGTAGCGTGGGATATCAACTCAATTACAGCCTCAACTTTGAGAGCATTTTTTGAGCTTCGGAGTTGATTTCAGAGAAAACCAGTGGCACCATCGTGTTTCTCGCGAAACTTCACATAGAAATCAGTGCTCAAATTGCAAATTCCTGACACATGCAAGAGCCCCATATTATTTCAAGGAAATAAGGATGGAAAAAATTCATTGAAAATTCTAAGATATTACGTTCACTTGTTACAAAGTCAGACAAGATGCGGCTTAAAATGTAGGGGGGAGGGGGAGTAAGATGACTGTATCACTGCTCATCTAGAGGGGTAAATTTTGCATAATTTGACGCAAAACACACCGGAAAATTCAAAAAATTGACCCCGCGGCAGGAGCTCAAAGTTTGAGGACGAAAAACGGGAAAATCGAGAAAACCACGGTTTAGGTATACAAGCGGTGTTGCCGCATAGAGAAAAAAAGGAGGTGTTTGCATTTCGGGCATCTTGGAATTTTTTGATGACTTGATGACGTAGATGGGTACAGCGACGTCCCCTTCACGCTAAACGTCACTGTACCCACCTACGTCATCAAGTCATCAAAAAATTCCAAGATGCCCGAAATGCAAACACCTCCTTTTTTTTCTCCATGGTGTTGCCGGTCTTAGGGACTTGTTAATAGCACTAATAATGGGGATTATGGAACGATATGATGGGTTTTTACCTTATGACACATGTTGACTGGCTTCGTCATAATTTCAGAAGCCGATATCGGTCGATAACATGTGAGAACGCGTGCCTCAATTATAGCGTTGCAAAATCTCCATTCATATTTTTTTATTTTGCCGTAAAACCGCAACCGCAACTTAAAAATTGGCATGAAAGTGCATGCCTCTTTAGTAAAGCTTTTTAAGGCCGATGCCAATAATATCTGAGCCCATACTGGATGACCCAAAAGTCCAAGGACAGGACACCCCTGAAACTTTTGAAAAATTTGAAATTTTGTCAGTGCTCCTGTGTCGAAGCAAACTACTTTTTTTGGTCCTCCAAAATTTTTATCTTCAAAAGTTATAGGGATGTTCTACGGATTTTGGGTCGCCCTGTATATAGCGCACGAAAAATGTGTAAATCCTCAATACGTAACATTAATATACTTGATTTGCTTGTTACAGTTGATCAAAGTAGACACAGTAAATCGAACGAGAAAGCTGTGGTGCGAGCCTAATGTATATCCAAGTGAACCTGTATTTGTGGCAGCCCCAAATGCCAGGGTAAGAGCAATATTTATCTTGTGATTTCGAGATATTTATTCAAAATTTAGAGAGTTTAATTAAAGCACGTGTGCAGTTAAGAAAGTAGACTTGATGAGATACGTTTTCATATTCCTTTCTCAGTAATTATCTGACGGAGATGGACAGTTCCGGCGCGTGGGGACAGACTATAACTCCCTCTGGTGCTGAAAAGAGAACGATTTTTAAAGGGTTTGGCGAATTATGGGATATTGTTCATCAAGGTTTTTGCGGATTTGCCTCAATCTGCAGCTCCTTTCTTGGAGATTTAGTTGAAATAACACTTCCGGTATTAATTAATTTCAATCTCTGATAGACTATTTCAATAAAACATCACTAAGTACTTATGTATGGATCGCTTAATGAATCGCTTGTTTTCCTTTTTGATTACAGAGAGAAGATGATGGAGTAGTTCTTTCAGCGCTGGTTTGGGGAGGCCAATACGTGAATAAAGTTGCCCTCCTTATCCTAGATGCTACAACTTGGACAGAAATAGCCAGATCAGAGTTTATAACTCACGGGCCTGTACCAAAGTGTTTACATGGCTGGTTCATTCCGAGTCAATGACTTACCTTCTACATTTAAGTGACTGATGATTGTACAAAATTGAAATGTAGAGACAGAATATAATTATAAGGACTTTTTTGAATACTGAAAATTCCAAGTCTCTTCATTTTTAAGATATGAAATTCATATAGAAAGGTGAAACCACCAAACCTTGATTCTTAATTTCAGCCTTTGAAAGTTTCTGCTAATGTGCTAGTTCTTCAAGAGAACACTGCTATATATTCTCGCACAAAATTATCAGAGAATATTGTTGCAAAAACGAGGCAAAATCAAGAGAAATTGTAAGCATAGAAGATGATCGGGTCATCTTTAAAAAGATGAAATGTAAGTAATATCCTAGGTCCGCAGAGATATTCAGGATACGGCCTACGGCCAATCGGTGAATGCAACTTAATTAACTTCGGTGTGGGGTTTGGTTGCGTCCCCACATTTGAAGGCGAACTAGTGGCGATTTCGTTTCGAAGACGCGGCGCTCTAACTGACATATACTGAATGTATGATCGCCGTCGTCCTTATTCCGCGATAAAGCAGGATTTATAGTTCAAGACTTCAGGGATGAAAACTATACTTCCGTATCAAGGAAAAACCCCGTATGAAATTTTGGGCGTTGTCAAATTTACGTTAAAAAATGTAGATTTTCCGGAGAAATTTTGTACACTTGACTTCAACTTATCAGAGATGTATTTCGCAATTCGAAAATTGTATTTCCCTTTAAAATTAAACTTTTTGAGAGATATTTGGCAACGTTCGCGTGTACATATCGAGCTTTTCCTTAGCACGACTGTGCGAGTCTGTCAACGAATTGATAATCCTCAAATGTAAGTACTATAGATCTTCGGGATCATGAGAGAGGCTAGGTTATTTTGCTAGGGGGTTTGGCACCCCTACCAACGGGGGGTATTCCCAGTTCAGAGGGGGGAGGGGTGCGAGGGCTTCTCCGAGAAATAATTAAAATTTTAACTCTACTTGGACACAATTTTGAGGCTTCCGTGACACAAATTTTAGAAAATACCAACTGAATGAGCACGGGGTTTTCATTTAAAACTCTAGGTACATCAGAAGATATCCCTGGTAAAAATTGGCGATAAGAGCTGCGTTTCAAAATACCATTGGAATTCTTATAGCCGGCTAAAGAAGGCTACAGAAAATCATATAGCTGGCTGTAGAATGCGGAGAAAATCATACAGCTGGGCTATACGAAGCCGGGCTTTACACTTTATCGCCAGGCTGTTGCTTTTTCGCCATCGATTATAAATGGCTATAAGAAATTGTGTAGAAATTCGTGTGCTTTGGAAATCATTAAGTTTGATACGGAACCACCTTAATGTTTACAAAACACACATTATATTTTCCTATAATACATATTTTTTTTCATCAATTAAAATGAGAATAATCCTTACAGGATGTGCAAACATTTCAAAATCATTAGTTGAATAACGCTGACACTCCGCCAGATTAAATATTGGAGCCTAACACGAAGCGGAGCGGCGACGCACTGGCGCCTACAAACCTAACAGGGATACTTCACGCATTGCGCAACGCGTGAAGTATCCCTGTTAGGTTTGTAGGCGCGCCAATGCGCGTTTCGCGCTAGCTGCCCGCCTACCGCGCCGCAGCGTGCCACGGCGCTTGAAGCAACTATTTCACACCAGAGGTACTGCACAGTATCATACGAAACTGAAGGCGCTTAAATATATTAGGAATGGCAGGCATCCATCAAAAGTACGGAGCTTTCCTCGCAAAATAAATCAAGATACTACGGCCCAAAAAGAGAGCAGTAGTCCAAAAACTCACTAAGTCCTAGCATCCGTAATTAGTAACTTTTAGCATACACTTTATCACCTGGCTGTTGCTTAATCGCCATCAGCTATAAAAGGCTATAAGAAATTGTGTAGCCGGCTGTAGAAGCTATTGGAAATCTTACAGCCGGCTGTAGGTCTATGGTATTTTGGAACACAGATTCTACTGCTAATTTTTACCAGGGATCATCGACGAGAGTTTTCCACTATCTAGAATTTCCGGGGAGGGATAACGTACTATTTTCAATTCTGCGGGAGGAAGGGGGGGGAAGCCCTCCTTAGCTACGCCCATGCTCGGGATTCGTAAAGACTCCCCAAATACCTAGGTATACTTCAGTGGAGACATTCAGAATTACAGCGAATCGCTGGATGCAACTTAATTAACTTCGGTGTGGGATTAGGTTGCGTCGCCAAATTTGAAGGCGAACTAGCGACAATCTCCTTTCAAGGCGACCAGACACTGTGTAAGTACGTATCATCTCCGCCATCCTTACATCGCGATATTTGTAGTTTGAAGTGGTAAGTAGGAAAACTAGTCTGCCTTGCTAATATAAGGAATAACGCTGTAGGCAACTTCGTCTATTACCAACTTTCCTTTCATAAAGCACAGATTTTTTAGAGAAAGGATGTGTCTCTCTAAGGGGTTTTGGGCCCCAACTTGCATCAAAACTTAAAATAGCTTAGAACAACGTCATGCATGCCCATATTAAATCTCGATCGTCTATCCAATGAAAACACGTCTTCGTTTGAAGTATTCATGAATGGTTTTCACCTGATCGACCGGCAGCGGAAAGTGGGGAAGTTTATGATTTTCTCAAGAAATCGCTCTTTTTCAGTCATAAAACTAATTGTTCAGGAGTGAGAGAAAGCGACTGCCACTTTCTCTTTTGAATATATTGTAATGGATTTACTAAAGAGTAACATACTACAATATGAAGGTGGCGTGGTCCTTTTCGCTGACACTTAAAAGTGACCTTTTGCCATTTCACAATCGTATGAAATCATATTTGAGGGACTAATCATTGTGGGGCTTGGAGGACAATGCGCATTAGTGCAGTTTTTGCTATTTCCAGAAATATGTGCTTGAAGTTCCATTAGGTATTGTATAGATCTTAATGGCGGAAAGAATGTTTTTGATGCTTAAAAATTGGAATTTGGGAGCAAATTGTTCACTGAGTATGCATTGAGACTAGTTTTACTTCAAACCATTAATATCTCAAAACAGCACTTATGCCCCTTAGTTTGAGAGTCAGCTCGTTGTCAGTGTTTTAGATATCAGATACATTTCAGAAGAATGTCGTATGTGCCCATATGGAGTATCGGTCATATAGGTACTCTATGAGAAATTCACTTAAATTGCAATGGTTTTGGCAGTTTTTTGCTGAGTCGGCTGGAGCAAAGTAGTAAAATTTTGCAGCTTCCTCCAAAAATTTGTTCTTTATGAAGTGCCTAAAAGGGCAAACTGATTTTAATTTCTTGTTATTGCCACACTTCAGTTTCAATTAAATTGATTACCTATTTCAGTTTTAGTAGGCAGTGGTTTTCACTGTTCTTTTCCTATTTTTACTAGATATTTATCTGAGAATTTCTTCATTTACGTCAAGAGAATAGATTCTTTAGCTTGTTTAATCTGAAGTCATTTCTATTATTCTATTCTTACACCAATCCTTACAAAAATATGACGGTATAAATTCAATAAATAAATAAAAAGATCCGAAAAAGGATAAAAATCAAGGGAAAAGAACTTTTGAAAATTCGATTTAGCCTGCCACATAACCATAAAAAAAAGACTCACCAAAACCAATGGAAGCTTTTACAAGTTTTTTTCACTTTCTCAAAAATGTCACTTAGCATCTGTGTGTTCTGGACCTTTCTATTGATACTGGAGGTAACCATTATTAAGTTCAATATGCATCTTTTTAAGGGCATACTTTTACTATGATGTCATAAAATCATAAACTTGTAAGGAGCAAATATTTTCATAACCATCATTGATACGTTTTCAATAAAAGAATCAAGGCAATTACTACTGATGGCCAGAGAAAATCACAAAAATTTTGCCAAAGTGATTTCCATCATATCAAAGGTTACGGCTTGCTTGAACTAGAAGATGCAATGAATGGCTTGTATAAAAGAAACTTTATTCAAGAATAATAAAACATAGACTTAGTTAACTTAATGATACAATTTCATTTTGCGGTCGTCAAAGTTTTCTTCTGAATGAAGCCAAATTACTTCCTGACTTGGGGACCTCCTTGCCTGTTGGCATCACTCTGTTAACAAAAAAAATGAAAAACTCATTAAAAGGCGATAATTGTTAGGCATTAATAAAAAAAAAAAAAAATGAGTCCTATTTTGTTTGACATAACAATCATAAAGTTTTCATGACAGTTCGGAATATTTCCACATTGCTTGAGTGTTGCCAATCACAATACTGATAAAAACATATCAACAGTGAAACTACCAGATGACATACCTCGTTTGCAGTGTTTACAATTCTACGCTCCCTCTTTTTATTTGAAGGGGGACGGATCAATATCATTTCTTGGAATTTTCAGAGTTTTCTTTGCATAGGAAAGATGAAACACGGAGGTTTTCAAGAATTGACATTGAGTCTTTCTCCATTGAAAAAAAAAGTATGACAGGAGGTCTAAAACATTGCAAGCAGTGATACAAGGTTTGGTAGTTTCACCATCCATACGACAATGTTACCCAGATCGAAATAATGAGAATCAACGCAATGACTTTTTGGAAACCACGACTAAAAAAGTAGTTTGGACCCAGAACTCAAGCTTTATCTTGAATCAGCAACAGATTTTTGAGTACTGGATATTAGGAATTCTATGAGAGAAGCGCCAGATTATTAAAGCATCTAACAGCTGCTCAGTCCAAAATTTATGTGCTATGGTCGATGACTGCTCTGATTAATTATTTCACAACTTTCTGACCTTGTAAAGCTTCAAAAATTGAACTTAATCTCTGCTAATTCAAAAACGTTATTAAGGCTTACAGTTACACAAGGTGAATACACCTGAATTTTTCAGCAGTTCAATAGGTAATTTAAATTAATTCGGAGGTGTTGGAGTTTTAGGCAAGCCTTTTACACCCAGAAAGAAATAGAAAATTGCGAGAACTCATTCCTTAGAGCGGTTTTGATTCTTTTCAACTGAGAAATGGTAAGAAAACAGGATTTTTCCAATCACTGCCGTATATCTAACATTTATAGCGCTCAGAAATATATCGAGAGAATCGTGAAAAAAATGACAAAATTTAGCTGCAACCGAATTTCTTAATAATTCATTCAATTTCCTGTTCAATATTTTCCACCAAAAACAGGAAATAAAGAGACTAGTGAGTACTGCCATACTACAGAAGAATGCCGTATGAGCATTCGAGAGTTGCCAAGCTTCCTCCAATAAAATGTTTATTTTTGAGGAAAATAATCAATACTTTTTCTTGAAATGATCAGACTTTTTAAATTGAATTGACAAACCAAATTATCTGAGAAATTAGAAGAAAAATACGCACAAATTTTCTTGAAAATTAATGATTTGTCAAAGGAAATTTGGTAACGCCTGAAGCCTCATACAGTGTTTTTCCTTAGCATGACAGAGGAGCAGAGGCATGTTGTGCTGTGCAATGAATTAATCAATTTGTCATTCAAATCTATGGAAAAAGTTCGATTAAGTATTAGAGTCACAACCACATCTTGAAAATAAATTCTCTACCAACGCTTGAGATGGAAGACTCGTTCTAATCAATTGATACATTGCTACAGGTAAGTTGAAGTCATTGATAGTTACAACAAATTCTGCTGTGCTCTGTCTGGTCCATGGTACTTAAATGCAGATTTAACTTGTGCAATTACAACAAAATGTTCACTGCAGTTCCATCATGATCGTAAGTCACTGAATGTACAGAAGCCAATAAAGGTCAGACAGATGAGAAACTTACCCTGTTGAAAGCACGTTGTGGTGGTGTCCTGATACGTCTGGTGGCTTTACTCCTGTTTCGGACTACTTTTGAGTGAATGGCGCATGATACACAGTAGTGGAGCTTGGCGTACAATTTGGGGAGTTGGTAGGCTGGAAAAAAATACAAATAGATTTGGGTGAAAACACTTGCTCCAACCATAAAAAGTAAGAGAAAGCTCCACGGATCATATCCAGTCAATTACACAGTAAATCCCTCCTTTTCCCAGTTTCTTTACAATTTTTCACTTACTCCTCTTTGAGATAAACTTCACAGTTGGGTAAATACAGCAAAATACAAGAGTTGTACATTCAAATAGATGCATATGAATCCTGCCTAGGATTTTGGATGAGTAATATTATTTACTGTTTGCTTCCTTCAATGCCAAAGGAATTGAAAGGTGAACCAGCACAGATCAAAATTAACAGGTCTAAAATTCATTTGGCAAAATACATTGGCATTCTTGCATACACAATCAATCAGGATTTGCTCTTACATACCTTAGGAATACATCAAACTGAAATTGCCATTTGCTTGACACAAACAGAAAATAACAGATAGAAGTGCTGTGGAATTGTTAATTAAGCACAATCCGTGCTTACTATGCAGCACATGCTAAGGGCATCAATAGTAAGTCATTTAGGCCACTCATTTGGATAGAATGTATTCTAGGGACAAAGAATTTTAAGTTTACTTCAAATTATACTCTTTGCTTCCTTCTTGGATGCAATATCCATAAAAAAGAAGCCTGGAGACTGAAGACTTTATTCCCAACGAGAGATGAGACTATTGGGATACCAGCTTATAGTGATTTCCCAGGACCCTTCCACATGTTCAGGAACCAAGGTTTTAATGATCGGAATTTTTACCTCAAGATCCAAAAGTGATTTAACAAACCTAAGTAATTCAATTAAACGTGAATCGCTCCTAAAAAAATTGAAGAGCTTTAAAGGGGTGAATCTCCTTGATAGAGGGACAAGAGCTACCACTACCTTTTACGCTACTTGACAGCCAATGTCTTGAAGAAGCAATTATTATCATAATCTACAAGAATATGTAAAACACTTGAGAACCAATAACTGGGAGTATTATAAATACTGAATAATTAATGATGTCAAAGTTGAGGGAATAAAATACAAATTAATACAAAAGAATTAGAGAAATGGATGCTTGCTGACATAATGAGTTAGAGAGCGACAGATGTCAATGATGTTAGTCCGCAATCACACAACTCGATTGCGGTGTCTAAAAATATTCGCCTCTAACTTATTTTACAAAAGGAGAACAAATTGACATCATTCCTTAAAGTTTTCATAGAATTTTCTTCGCACAAAGGAGAAAAATCACGGCAGTTTGAAAAAATTGCCGTTGGGTAGTTTTCCGTTTAAAAAATGAAGTATGACAGGAAGTCCGCGTCATCACATATCGAATTACACCATTGATGTCTCTCTTGTCCCTCGATTGCTTAAATTTAATTCCTGAAGAGAAGTTTAGGAAAACTACTTACACTGGTAAACACTAGCTTCAGTGATATCACGGACAGCTGCAGCCTCTACGATGTTACGAATGACGAATTTCTTGATAGCTTTGTCTTTTGGTACACATCTGGCACAGTTAGTGCAACGAACAGGTTTGACATGACCACGTCCATGTTTGGACCGTCCAGCATTCCTCCGCTTACAGGTCTGTCAACAATTCAGTAAAGCATTACAGGAATCTTTGGAGACACTAATGGGATAAAATTTGAGAAAAGGGGTGAATGTGGGCAAATTTGGCCAAGTGAGTTAGATAGTTATTGTGTCAATTGGCGTTATCTTCGTTGCCGCAACTTAGAAGGTTGTACATCTAGGAGCCTCTACTCCTACAGAAGCTTTGAAAGTACACTGATGCGATGTCTTCCTATCTGAAGTTTATCTAATATAGATACAGAATAGTTTCTCTTGACTCAAGATTGTCTCCCTATGGACTGGAAATTTGCCTTTGTCTCACTACCATCTTACTGTCATTATTTCATAGTAAAACTTCCGAATCATTGATTCCCTTTGATGGTGAGACTTTAATGAAAGCCAACTCTGAGCACACATAGGACAGATTGAATAATTTGATTACAGGAATTAAGTGAAAAATGAAAATTTCACCGAGGGCCATTTGATGACTTTTGACAGATATGACAGTAACAGTATCCTATGTTGCTGGGCTTAGAGACATTTGCTGAATCAAAAGCTGTCCATAAGCTGCTTATGAGGTACATAAGGAGTAAATAGTTCGAAATGTAGGAGATAAATTGAGTTATTTAAACGACAAAAAAGGGATAATTTGGATCATTCACGCCAAACAGAGGCCTAAGTCCGGACCTGTGGCACACGTGTGCAGGGTCATTATCGGAGAACTGCGGGGTGGTTCTAGATTCCGGCATGATTTAAACTCTTCAGAAACTTGTAATTTTGAATGATAAAAAGGTCTGACCTACCATTTTGGAGAACTATTGGATAAAATTGAAGAAATCTTGCTGAAAAACACAGGCTTCAACTACGCGTGCAGGATCGGGAAAGAGGTTGGAAATTACGATTGGTGGTGAAACGCGAAAATCTATGTTGATTGTTGGATGGTGATGTTCTTTGTTTACGTCGGCGCAAAGTTAACCTAAAATTTTGATGTTTATATGCTTTTGATAAGAATTTATCATGACGTGGGTTTAGTTGCAATCAATATTCAATATCTAGTATAATTTTAGTATTGTTCTACGTTTAAAATTTTAAGGCAGTATCCAATTTCAAAATGAATGTGTTTGATCGGTTTGAAATTCCATTGCACATGGTGAGTTTTAGTGGTTTATTTAAGACTATCATTCTTCATCGCTGCTCTGCACTAGCATAGATCAAGTTTATTGCACTGAGAATATTTAGAAATATGTTAAGTAGAAATCATTTTTATTGTTTTAATTATTCAATAAACTGCTAATCCTTTGATTTGTGCAAATGCCCAGCGGGCTGATCATTGAAAGTTTAAAGCAGCCCAGTAAGGCATCGAATTGCGATTTATAGCATGGTTATGATAGGACTATGTCTTATTGTGTCGGGCAGATATAGCTTCAATAATGGGGCCACTGAGCTGGTGCTCAAATACTCATTTCTTGAAGTACCATGGATTCTGACATTGCTTTCACACACCGTTAAACTCGCCTTCCAATGATAATCGGAATAAGATTTCAGAAATACCCTATGCATTCTATATGATGCTTAAGGTATATGTCAGGTAACAATTTTAGACATGTGTTACAAATGTACATTCACTCTCCAATCAGCTGTAGTTATCGGCCTGCTTTTTAGCCAGTTACATGTTCTCATCAATATTTTCCATATCCTTCGCATCTGAGCTATCTATCTGGAAGCGATAATTACTTCCACAGCTTGAAATCAATTCATATCTAAACTGCAAATCCTAGGGCTCTAGCAGAACTTTCTGTAACTACATAATGAAGAAAGTAATCAGGTCCTCTATTTTTTATAGACCTTGAAATTCAGCTTCAAAGTCCTAATATTTTCCGAGCAGTCTTTCTGTTTTCAATATTTCCATAAATCTGTGATTAGGTGTTAGCAAGTCTTTTGACCCACGCTATTTCAGCAAATCTCCGTAGGAAGAAGTTGAGAGTTTAAATAACTTATTTTTTAGTGTAAAATTTCATGAATGACCCTGAAGTTGTCAGCATACTCTACGCACCAATACTTAAATCTACTTTTGTATCAATCAGATTTGTCAATGCCGAAGAGCTATATTTTTTTCTCTCTTTTTGAGTTGAGTGATTTTTCTTTTAACATTAAATGAATATATTTTTTCTTTTTTTTATTTCAGGATTATGATGGCCAAAGAAGAGCTGAAAAATACTCCAAAATTATCATCACTCTATTTGGTGTAAGTTTTAAGCTTCATGTATTAAACCTCTACTATTCGTATGGAACATGATTGTCACTGTAACAGTTAGGGGAGATACGATTATTTTCCTGCAAAAAGTAAAAGATTATCCATATTTGTGATTGTGAAAGTGGAAAAGGGATTTTAGTCTTTTGATGTAAAATTTTCGGCAACAAAAATTTTTTCTCAGCACATTTTACTGCCAATCCGGTCCTATTGAGACACCTTTTTTATGACATGAAAATCCTATCTTACATTTTATGCTATTTTGTTTTGAAATTTTACATGTGTTTTTGTTTTTGTGCGTTTGTTATGAAGTGTGCTGTAAATTTTCCCTTTCTTCTCTGAATTACAAAAATCTTTATTTTTTCAGGCTGTTGGTTTGATATGGGGTTACATAATTCAACGGTTCTCTCAAACAGTATATATTCTTGGAGCCGGTTTTATTTTAGCTACAATTGTGAGTAAAATAGCTTTGTCAGTTTCTATCATCATATTCCACCCTATTTACTGCATTCTTTGCCTGTAGCTCAAATCTTTGCATAATTTGAAGAGACATACCTACCAATCTCGTTCCATCATCACAATAATGAGTCAATCATCATGAAAGCCTGTTAAGCATCTTCATCTCTTTTTTATCAATCACATCACACCAGAAGCTAGAGGTAAAATTCATATTTAAAAACTTCTCGAGAGATAAAACTCTTATTTGATTTTGAGAAGCAGACATAAAAATCTCCCATATTCATGACTTTATATTTTAGTCTTATTTTTTTCCTTGCATGATAAAGTTTTGTGGCAACATTGCCTGCAAGGAAGTATTGATGAGTGAACTTGAAAAATGTGTGCTTTAAGGAAAGGATCAGATGTTCTCAGTGAAGAAATAACAGTAACTTTTGTAACAGCTTACATACATACTGTATTAAATCAGTAATATGTATTTCTTTTTTATCTCAGATTGCAGTGCCCCCATGGCCAATTTACCGGAAGAAACCTCTTCAGTGGCAAAAACCTAGATCTGATGATGCAAAAAAAGGAAAAGCAGCCCCAGCCAATACGGAGCAGAATACAAATAAAACGAAAAAAAAGAAATGATGCTAAGTTAACTACGTTTGTTTTTACCTCCAACTGAATCCAGTATTTCACTATCAGTTTATTGCAATTTTTGGTATGTTTTTTTTTTTTTTTTAATTTGTTAAGCTCGTTCCTACTGCACAGCCCAAAGGACCAAAACCAACCCTGTCAACGTGGAAAGTAAATAATTAAAGTAAACAATCGGAATTTCATGTTGCACGTTATATTGATTCAATTGATGGAGTTGGGTCAGTTGCAACACAATTGTATTTAGATCCTCGGAAGAGAAGACCATTAGTCCAAACTCAAATTTCTTAATCTTAAATTCACAGTGTTATTGCTTCATGGCAAAACTTACGGGGCGGAATCATCCTCTGTAATACAGCAGATTATACATGACATATTTCCTCTGTTGTTATCACTTAGTCACGCACACATTTCCAAGGGTGCTACACTGACACCACCAAACAAGACCCTGATGAAAGAAACCATGATACAAGTACTTCGTTGGAGTTGATTAATATCAGCACATGATAAATGATTGATAAATGCCTCTGCTGAATTAGAATATGGAAATTTGGCTATTGCACTAACGTTATTTTTCTCATCTATTACATTTTTACCTATTAAATATACTTCATCTTTTTTTATTTTTATTTTTTTGTCATTGCATTTATGATTCAGAGATAGAATCAATTGCTTCCAAATTGAACCATCAAATATGTTTATACAATGTGTTTAGTTAAATTTCCTTTATTTGTTCTAATTTTGTGTGATTTTTAATTTTAATTAATTTTCTCATTTTCATCTCAACTTTTAATAAAAGATGTTTTTTAGAGTAAGTTTCATAGTTTTGCTGTTCTCTCAAATCTAAACTTTTTTTTTTACCAACTTTTCTCAACAACATGACATCATATTACTCTCTTGATAATTGTCACACTTGTTTAGGTTCTTCATCTAGGTTGTTCATCTAGGTGACCTTAAAAAATTTTGCAATTTTCAAATATTCCGTTTAGATATATGGGAAGATCCTACTACCAAGATCATTTTAAACTCTAATCAAACTTTGAAATGTCTCAATTTAAGCCTCTTTGGCATTAATCTCCTAATTCATCATATGGCAATGTACGTGCAATCCGTGTTTTTCCTCTCGAGGACAGAATGATAATATGGTCATATCATAGTTTCTTGGAGTGGTGGGAAATTAGTAAATTTTGTATCTTTTATTTTTTACTCTGTCAGAATCTGTTCTTAAGGCAGGTGTGGACTTGAGTTTTCTACCAGGGTTTCCACATCGTATTTTTTTACTTTTATCCCTTTCTGATGAACCCTTCTTAACTGGTTCGAACGGAACATAGTAAATATTTTTCTTGAGGTAATGAGTAAGAAGTCTTCATTTGGCAGTTTTTTACGCAATTGTAGTTTTCAACAAACAATTATCTGCCCTCTTGCCACCCAAATTCTTCCTCAAAAGATTAGAAAAACTTATATGTATTAAACTTGAATTATCTGGGTTTTGTAATAAAACTACTAAGAAAGGAGACTATGAAGGTTGATCGTTGATTTTTATACATTTTTTCCTGAGGTATAAATTGACAAAGAAGAATGCAGTCTTTTATTTTGATTTCAGACTTGTGTAAAAGGCTGAAAACTTATGCCTCCACATTTGAGACATAGTCCTAAAGCACTATAAAGCTGTAACTTTGATTGATTTAACGACTAGAGATGTGTCCTTTTGCCAAGTGGGTAACCATTCACTCCGCTGGTTCCAAAACTTCAGTAAAGCCTGCAAACAAAAGAATAAAATAAGTAGACATTATTACTTTTTCACTTGCCTTTAAAAAAGTGTTTCAGGGAATTTTCCGCAAAACAAAAAAAATTGACCAAGGACTTTGATGCAACTTTCAACCTTTCTTGAGTAAATTATCAAATCTTCAAGTGAAATATTGCAGCGCAATTATTTGACTAGCCCATATGATTCTCATCCCTTCATATTTTATAACCTTGGTATTTTTCTTGAAAAAGCTCAGGCTTTCTTTCTTGTTAGGAACGATAAAAATAAACATTCAAACATGAAGATATCACAATCATTATTTTTTTAAGCGTCGGCATTCAATATTGATACAACACCCCTGAAATATCATTCTTGTTTCGTATAACTAATGTTGTTTCAATATTTATACAACATCCCTTTCATATGATGACTCTTTCTGGGGGGATATTAAGGCAATACTAAAATAATATTGATTTACAAAGTAGGAAACCTTGGTGATCAAGTTTTCAACGAGAATGCGAGTATCGTTCAAGTGCGCCTTCAATCCGGCGGTTATGTGTTTTGATGAGCCATTGGGAACTTGATAAAAAATTTTCTCAGGTCTCAAAAAAGTTTCAGTAGCTTTGAAAGAAACATAAAACAGATTGGTATGCAGTCGCTCTAAGGAAGAACACCATATGAACATTCGGGAGTTGCCAAATTGTCCTTTATAATACATGTATTTTAGACGCAATTCAAGCAGATTTTTTCTTGAAATTTTCAGATATTTTAGATTAAATTACGTACACAATTGTCTGAAAATTTTGGTAAAACATATTTACAATTTTCCCTGTAAATTCTGTTTTTATCGAAGGAAATTCGGCAACGTCTGAAGGCTCGTTCTTCCTTAGCACGGCAGTATGGTATGACACTCACCCTAGGGTCCGTGTTAGTCCATGGTTTGACATGACCGTTGCTCGTTGCGCCATCCTCGAAATCGCGTAATCCTCCTACGGAGACACCAAGACTGATGTAGAACTAGAAGCAAAACATCATATGTATAGGTACCCAATAAAAAGGTAGGTAAACAAAATTTTTAAACTTTATCCAAGCAGCACAGGTTGGAAAAATCGCTACTACGTGATTAAATAATTTTCAGTGAGTCAAAGCGTTACGTATATTGCCTGGCTTCTAATTGAAGGGACTTTTCTTAGTGACATTATTGCGACAAAATTACAATATGTTGCAATTATTTTTTGCATTGCAAATTGCCTATCTTTCTAACACATGGAACTCATCCCGTTGATCGTTTATAGATATTCGTTAAATCAAGTTGAACGAAAAGATTACAATTTCATGGTCAAAAACTTGCAATTTGATTACCTAATTGCACTAAATTGCACCTCTGTTACAATACCTATTTTCGTTGCACTGATTTATGTGCAACTTGGGTATCTGTCTAATTGAAGGCGAAACAGCGATGTGCGTAAACTCCAGACTCCTCATCTGTTAGTTCTTATTCTCCAATAATTCAGTCAGGAAACGTTACTGATATAATGAACGTAGGCAATTCTGGCAAACAACATTTATTTCAAGGAAGATAGTCGTTAACGTCTCAGACCCCAGATTCTTCCTCACCACAAAACGTAGCGTAGCATTTTATTTCGGTTTCAGTTCGAGGTAAACACATGCAGTATTCTGCCTCCCCTTGCGCCTAAAAATCGAGCTTTGACGCCTGAAAATTGAGGGGGAGCTATATAAGCCATCGTGGCGTCTACAAAACATGATGCGCCCCGTCAATTTTTTCAAATTCGCAATTTCACGCGCTACGATGCATTTGCAAAATGTATATATGGCTCCTAAAGAATTTTAGAAGGCTCCTAAAAACTGGGCTTTTCAGTCAAGAAGGCTCCTACTCGTACTCATTTTTCCGTTTATTTAGGAAAGCACGCAATAGACTTGAATGACAGACATTGAAAGAACTCTTACCGTCTTGTCTCCGAAAAGTCACGACATATTTCAAAGTATTTATGTTCGTTCACCCGTACAAAATGGGCAGTGAAGAAGTTGCAACGTTGCAAATTGAGGTATGAATATTTTTTACCCCTCCGTTACGTTGATGATGAGAAAATGTGTAACCACGCATGCGCTGAGGTATAATATCAGCGGCAGTCGTGATCTTCTGCCATCAAGCCGAAGCGGTATTCTTGAAGGCGCTCTGAGCAACTATTCAGCCCCTGAAGTATTGCACAGTATCAGACGAAAATGAAGGCGCACTAACGTGTGTAACTTGACTGGTATCGTTTACCACTGTATGGCGTCGCCGTACTGATCCTACGATATGCGGCTCCTGATCGATCGATTTTGTGAAAATTGGTATCAAGTGGCATTTTTGACGGGAAATTTAAATTTCAAATCAAATTTTCGAAAATCTAAGATGACGGATGTGGCGACCTGAAATGCTGTCTCGGCCCCTGTTCGATCGATTTCTGTAAAACTAAGTGTCGCAGGGGGTTTGACACCGAAGTCGAATTGCAGGTCAACTTCTTAAAATTCAAGATGTCGAAAGAGGCTCTAAAATGCTTAAAATCCAACTTTGCAAACGAGGTCCATTCCGTTTCTGTTCAGTTTCAAATTTGATGTACTCTCAGCTAATTTAGACCCCGATATTGGCGCGCTTTTCAACATTTTTGCATCGAAGCTGCTTGTGTATTTTTAACGTATTTATTTCTTGTATTCCTCTCTCTGAAGAGTACAATCGAAATCAGGTAGCTTTACGTCATAAACGCAAAAGCGAGCTGATAATAACTTTGATCGTCACTTAGTATACATTTCGGCGCTTTCGCAACTCATCGGGCCCGTTTACTTCAAGGTCTATAAAATTTCGGATCCGTTTTTGTTCGTTTGAAGCCGAAAGTCGGCGATACCTCTACAATTTTAGAGGGAAAGCAAAACACGGGACATTTGTATAAAATGCCCATTAGGAAGGGTGCAAATCATTCCGGTGTTCTTTATCGTCCCCCCCCCCCCCCCCCCNGACACCGGACTTACTCTGATATCATCCCTGAAAGAGCTTACCGGCTGATCAAAAGGTGCAATTGGAGAGCCTGCATTCCATACCCTTATCTCCGAGCTGGAAAATCCAATCATGTCACTGAGTCGGGAACCATAAGCGTTTTGCATTATGTTCTGTTTTTTCCTCCCATCGACGAGGAACGAAACATCATCTGAAACAAAATATGTGCGGATGAAGTATATTTTAGACATTTTTTTAGAACAACAAGTACCGATTTATCGCACGCCAGTTCACCTTTATGCCGTTTAATGGCAGACGGAGGTGACATGACACGACGGCATATCGATATAGGCGACTGGATGCGACTACTCAAACCTAATGGTTGTGCACGTTGCATATGCAAAAGTGTAAAGGGGTTCTGGATTCTTCCGAATGGTGATGCATAGATGGAGCTATTCTTACTCGATGAATGTGCATACTTCATGTTGATGGTGAAATTATACCAAACCACGGATGTCGATTGTGGTGTATAAAAATTTCTACTCATGGGTATGCTACGAGTATTTTTTCGGAAGAAGACTGCCAAGCTTAACAATTTTGTGCAAAATTCTCAAAGAATATGCTCGCAAGAGCAAAAAAAAAAAATTAAAAACTACGCTCAGCCTATTTTTAATAAATGTGAAATATTTCAGGAGATTTGCAACATCGCAAACCAAGAAATACGTGTTTTGGTATGTAGACGGTGAAACTTAAAAACCGCACGTACCTGACTGGTGTTTAATACTTTTCGCTCGTATTTTATTTTTTTAAAGGAAATAAATTAAAATTAGGTGAGGTATTCCTTGAAGTTTGTTTCAGAGTTAGCTTCTCACCGAGAAGAAACATCACGGAAGTTTTAGGAATTGTCTTTGAGTAGTGCTCTAATGAAAAAATAAATTATGACAGGAAATCTGCAACGCCGCAAATAGAGTTACATGGTTTAGTAGTTTCCTGTCGGTATGTAGTTTTACCATCAGTCGGCACATAAGTGCAGGCGCTAACGTTATGCCTTCCTTAATGGAGATGTTGCATGTGTGAGGAATTTGCGATTTGACCATTGATTCTTATGTAAAAGTTCGCGAGAAACACGATGGTGCCACTGGTTTTCTCTGAAATCATCTCCCTAGCTCAAAAAAAGCTCTCAAGTTGAGGCCAAAATGGAGGGGATATCCCTCGTTATTCTGAGAGTCCACCTCTACATCAAGACGAACTCACCATGCGAAGATAGGGAGTAAGTACATAGACAGAGCTGCCACTTGATTTTGGGAATCTAAAACTGAAAACACGGCAACCCTGCTAATGTATTTGCTCCCTATCTTTGCATGGAAAGTTTGTTTTGAGTAGAGGTAGACTCTCAGGGTAGCGTGGGATATCCCCTCCATTTTAGCCTTAACTTGAGAGCTTTTTTTGAGCTTGGGAGATGATTTCAGAGAAAACCAGTGGCACCATCGTGTTTCTCGCGAACTTTTACATAAGAATCAATGGTCAAATCGCAAATCCCTCACACATGCAACATCTCCATTGTAGAGCCTGGATGCAACTGTTCGAGCTTGATAGATGCGCGTGTTGCATATGCAATACAGTGAAGGCACTCGACCTTCCTTAAGCCTGGATGCAAAGTAACTATTCGTGGTCATGGATGTCCGCTTTGCATATACATACATATAGGCTTTTTTAACTTACTACTGCCTACTGTTACACGATTAATAATCTCATACCATTGAAAAGACGGCATTTGATTATACCAACTAGCTGTTCTTAAGCAGCGTTGTAAAATTTTCTCTCCTATTTTATTTTTATTTGTTTATATTTATTTATTTTTTTGTATAAATGGTCGTGTTCGGTGGAAATTTTTGAACTGCCTTCGGTTGTGCGCTATCGAGGAGAATATAATCATGAAGTTGGAGTTTGGAGTGATTTTTATGGTTAGATGAATCGTCCAAAGAAAACAAAAAGTAGATCGCACCATAAAAAAATATTGTGTGCAGATAGTTTTGCATGAAATACTGTACATACAGCTGCGGTTATAGAGACTGTGATCACCTGGGGTCCAAATGATGGTGAAATTGTGGAAGTCATCCCGCCAGCCATTCGTATTGGAGTAGTAAACTGATCTACTTTTGATTGTTTGTCCGTAGCCCATCATTACTGAACCCTCCAATGTCTGATATCCCATATCTGTTTCGTCTTTGTACTTTAAATCTGAATTTCCTCGTGACGTAAAACGGATTTTTCCAGATTCGTAGTACGATCCGTAAGCGTTGTCAGCCGGCACCAGCCATATCTCTAGAATATCAAAGGAAGGTGTTAATTGAGTTGCAACAAAGGGTGATATAGTGGCGTGCTCAGCGATATATCGATTGATCTGCCATTTAAACCTATGGAAAAGGATCGATAAATAGGGTGCTCGAGACGAACACCTCAATAATCGATTCTTCACTGTGAAATATTTGAAAACTAATGGAAACATGACAATGACACAAAGCTTCGTAAAATTTTTTCGATTTCATCTTGACACCAATTTTTGTAAGATCGATGAAAAAAAAGTTAAACGTTTAGGACATTTTTTTGGAAAGCAAGTTTTTACGTCGCTAGTGAATTTCCTATTGAACGAATGATGAGATTTCTAATCTTTTTCATGCTCCGGTTTCAAATATTTAATTATTATTTTATATTATTCTATAAGTGAGCACTTACCCGGCACTATCCAGTCACCGATCGGAAGTTTGGCTTGGATTTCAACGATTCCATATTTGAAACTGAACGTCTGCTTGGTCGAAATTCGTGCAGATTGTATCGGTGGCAATATGAAAAAGTCTGTGTTTCTCGAGCATTCGTCGTTAAAAGCATCTCCTGTGCATCTAAAATTAATAATATTCATATTTCATTTGCATCATTTATTTTTTATCAGGGCAGCATAAGTTCTTCCTTTGTCTTGTAGGATTCTTATAATTGCGCCTACCTACCTACCAGAGACTCCTGTGATTTTTGTCAGCATTTAAAAAGTAAATAGTATTGATCTGAGAATATTCACGCGATGAAATAAAATGAAATTGCCGTACAAAACTAAAAAAATCACGGAACTGATTTAACAAGACGCCGAGGCCGACAAACATGCACGTCGTAACCAGGCCTGCACTTGGGGAGTGTGCGGGGCGTGCGGCGCACACGGGCGCCAGCCTTTGGGGGGCGCCACGAAAGAAGAAGAGAGGGGGAAAAGGGGGGGAAAAGGAAAAGGAAAAAAAGGGAAGAAAGGACAAGGGGAAAAAAGGAAAAGGAAACAAGATTGGGCAGCAAAAGCAAGGAATAAGGGGGAAATGGAAGGAAAAAGGAGGCAAGAAAAGTGAAAAGAGAGTCCGCGAGAAAGGGGGGGGGCATAAAATCATAGACAAAATAAAAGAGAATTGCCATCTACAGCAGGTAAATTTTCAGGACAAAAACTCCTTCTGGTCCATAGACGGTCAGGCGCCCCTTGACCCTAAATTTGCGGCTGTACAGAAATACAAGAGTAGGCATGTGGTAAGGGGGCGCCATAAATCCATCGAACAGGAGCCGACATAGCATTTTAGGCCACGTCCGCCATCTTGGATTTGAGAATTTTAAAAAATCGGCTAAAAATTCGAGTTTCCCGTCAAAAAGTACCCCTGATCCCGCGGTTCACAAAGCTCTAACGAACAGAAACGGAGGCCAGAACAGGGGCTCATTTTAGGCCAAATCCAACATTTTGGAGTTGAGAATTGTAAAAAATTGACTAAAAACTCGAGTTTTCCGTTAAAAAATACCGTGCGATACCGCGTTTCACAAGACTCGAACAAACAGAAACCGAGATAGCATTTTAGCCCACGTCCGCCATCTTGCATTTGAGAATTTTAAAAAATGGACTAAAAATTCGAGTTCCCCGTCGAAAAATACCTCCTGACACCGAATTTCAGAAAAATTCATCGAACAGGGGCCGAGATAGCATTTTAAGCCCTTTCGGATTTTCGAATTTTGAATTTTTTGAATTTTGATTTAAAACGCGTGATCCCCAAAATCGAAGCTCAGATTCGGATTCCTCGTAAAAAAATCGATGCGATTTCATGTATCATACCCTGACACCGAATTTCAGGAGAATCCATCAAACAGGAGCCGAGATGGCATTTTAAGCCACTTCAGTCATTTCAGATTTTCGAATTTGGAAAATTTGACTTAAAACGCGTGATACCCAAAATCGAAGTTCAGATTCGGATTCCTCGTTAAAAATTGATACAATTGCATGTATCATACCCGAGCATAGCTTGAAGGAAAGATACGTACCGTAGACATACTGATTCGAGCATATGAATTCAACGTGGCAACATGGGTAGTGCTCAGTGGGTCAGCGGAAGAGGAAGAATAAGAATTTATCGTGAGGAATTCCTCGGGACGAAACCGAACTCCAACAAGCGCCGCGGCGGCGTAGTTCAAAGGGAAAGTATGACAGAATCTACACGCGTCGTTAAACCTTTTTCCTTCACGCTATTTTAACATATGATACACGAAATCTCATCAATTTTTCACGAAGAATCCGAATCTGAGCTTAGATTTTGGATATTATGCGTTTTAATCTATTTAAAATCGTAAGAGAAATTCCAGAATTGTCCTTGAAAATTGATCACACATTAGTGTTTTTTTACGTCATTAAACCTCTTTCCTTCCCGCTATTCTAAAATTTGATGGATGAAATCGCATCAGTTTTTCACGAGAAATCCGAATCCGAGCTTAGATTTTGGATATTATACGTTTTAATCTATTTAAAATCGTAGGTGAAATTCCAGAATTGTCCTTGAAAATTGATCACACATTAGTGTTTTTTTACGTCATTAAACCTCTTTCCTTCACGCTATTCTCACATATGATGCACAAAATCTCATCAATTTTTCACGAGGAATCCGAATCTGAGCTTAGATTTTGGATATTACGCGTTTTAATCTATTTAAAATCGTAGGAGAAATTCCAGAATTGTCCTTGAAAATTGATCACACATTAGTGTTTTTTTACGTCATTAAACCTCTTTCCTTCCCGCTATTCTAAAATTTGATGGATGAAATCGCATCAGTTTTTCACGAGAAATCCGAATCCGAGCTTAGATTTTGGATATTATACGTTTTAATCTATTTAAAATTGTAGGAGAAATTACAGAATTGTTCTTGAAAATTGATCACACATAAGTGTTTTTTACCCCGTTTTTCTTCTACATTCACGTAATGAAATTAGATCAACAGTTGACTCATCGACTAGTGTAGCCTAAACCCCCAGAATCGGTCTAAAGGGCGAACGATTTTATCAGATAAGATTTGCGGTCCTAGTTTCCGGGCAATTGCGGTTTGATGGAAGGTGCGATGAGGAGAAACGGAAGATATGCGAAACTCGGGCGGATATTAAGTGAGAAACCAGGTGGAGGAAAGGCTTTCTTCCCGAAAAGTTAGTGCTCGGGTTAACTTACATGGTCACTGGAGCATTGTACAGCAGGTTGTGGGAAACTATTTTTTTGCAGCAACAACCAATTGGATCGCATTTTGCAAAAAGGAACTAAGAGCATTTCAATGTTGCTGGGATTGTGCAACTTAGGTACATTCTTTGCAAAAAGTAAACTTTGCGACGGTAATTTTCGTCTTGAATTCATAGTTTATTGGGAGTAGAGGTGAAACTAGTTTAGATGATCGTTTATGTTTGCAAGGTTAGCGACATTGGAATGCTCTTGCTCGTAACGTGAACGCTGATGCAACTTTACCTGCTCCGCGGATGTCTGTGTTGCATAAGTAAAAAGTTGAAGGCGTTTCAGGTGTTACCACTGTTTCTAATGACTGGGCTAGACATCTTAAATAGTTGATTGGTGAATATGAATCAGTAAAGCTTAAAGAAAAAATCAGATTCAAACCTTTCGAGATCGATTCGTCCGTTTTCAACGAAATTGTCATCAAATACTGTTGGTTGAATATGAAGAACCCCGTCTTTAGTATAAGTATTCTCGGGCTTGGCGTCATAAATGGCAAACTCGTAATCCTAGAATTAAATTAGCCTAATGAGCGTTGATAAAATAAATAATAAAGATCTGTGCAAATGTTTAAGTGGGAACATAAATACCTATATAAATATGTAGCGTAACTTAAAGTGTGTTTTTGATAGAAAACCGTACTCAAATCATGAGGTGAATCCATCGTGACGATGAGCTTAATTACAAAGCAGAATATGAAGTTGTTGAAATGTATCCATTTCATGCCATTGCATTGGGCCAGGCCTCTATGATAATCTCATTTTGTTCCCACGGTGTCGATCAGATAGTATGTTTCACCCATTAGTACCACTCTCCTATTTACGGTAAAATTCATTCGAGATTAAAGGTTGAAGTGAAACTGTAGCATGTTTTGTTGACTAATTTTTCTCCTTCGAGGTATAGCTCATCAAAAAATGTTTGAAGTCAGTAGTGTTGACGTGGGCGTATCCAAGAAGTCAGCGTCCCCTATAACTGCAGAGAAGTTCCTGTTTAAAAAAAAAGTCATTTTTAGAAAATTTAAACTTTGCCCTCCCCCTCCCCATGGAAAATGACTGACCATGCCACCACATTTATTTGATTCACCATAAGCGTTTAATTTTCCTTTTCGTTTTTTGTAGGGATGAAATATTATACAATACCGGTTTTGCGGCGATTTTAATTTCGTGTCTCCATCGCTTCGGGTCAAACTTTTTGAAATCGTCCGAAAAAATGACCGAATTCTTGCACACTCGTTTTCCTTTAACAGTTGTTGTTGACAAGACACAGTTGTTGCGCTGGGTTGTCGATTGCATTGGGGCTGCAGTAGTTTTGACCGGAAGCACAGGGCGATCAGTGAATTTTGGTTCTGATTTATCTGAAATTATAAACAATTGCTCCATGAGAAAGTTGTGCCAAACGCTTCCCGATCATTAGAGACACAAAAGAGTCAGCATCGATGTTGAAATTAAAAAAATTTTACCTCGGTTTAGGATGCTGCAGATTTCCTGTAATTTTTTTTAACTAAAAGAAAACTATAATCCTCCAAATTTGTGAAAATTTGCATTATACTTCTATTTTATATATACTCAAAGATATTGGTTTATCCTCTTCGAAAAACAGAGTGAGAGCGGATATTTCCAATGCATCATAATCTAGGCCCAGGGCTTTAGTTTCACTATCGATGAGTGAGTACAAAATCCAAAGAAAATATAGGGCATATAGAGAAAGATAGAATAACATCCGATGTTAGAATTAATTAATTGAAAGCGTAAAAAGTTCAGGATGCAACGTGCACGTGTCATACGAAGCATTCAATTTCCAAACTATGAACATTGCATATCCATTCATAGTGTATATTTATAATTATTGCATGATATGTCTCTTTTTTTATAAGTCTACGTGTCCGTATGAGTATAGTTAGGGCGAAACTCATGTATCAGGGTCCCATCTTCATCTTATAAAAATCTTATTTTCATTTCAATCGAGATTCTAACTTGATGCTGTGTCTGAAAGCACAAGGTTAAAAAAACAAGGTCTACTTATACAGAAATTTAGTAGGTAGTCCTTTTTATAATATATTAAATTTTTTTTTCGGCAACCTAAGGAGAAATGTAGTGACATGCGGTGCCTTACCTGCTAGAGGGGTCTTATAAATCTGTATACGCCAGCCTCCTCCACAGGTCTCAGCTGAGTCACCGGGGCATTTTTTATTACAATTATCGTCGGGTTTGATCCTATGTTGTGGAGGACCATTACGCGCACAGAAACATTCGAACCTGCAAAACGAAGGGATTAGAATCCATCACATCAGAAAAATACATCTAATTTTAAGAGGTGCGGTATGAAAACTTTAAAAACCAAATCATACGGTTGCAGTTATTCGGAATTTTCGCTCGTGCTGAATTTTTTGTGACGAAACTTAGGTTAATCTTGCGTACAATTTTTAAAGAATATTTTCGGATGGGCTCATGAGCAAAACTGGAGGATAGCCAGGGACCAAGAAAGCTTATCCCCTCCCGATGAATGTGAGGGATTTTGCTAATGGCGTAACATATTATCTTCCATCTTTGAAAGTGTAATTCGACCAATCAACCGGTGCGGAAAGCTCAAAATCGCTCCTGAGTTGACTCAACTTTACAAATTTTCGTATAGAGGACCTCAGGACCTCTTTTTGGAACCACAAAAATTCCCCTAGCCCTACTTTGGAGCTGGTGACCCCTACGGATACCCGCGGGTGGAGTCCTTTAGTGTCATCCTTGATGAGGTTCTCCTCTGGCCCTCTCCACAAAAAGTTCCAGTCCTGCCCATGGACGGTTTTTGGAAAATCCTGCAAAATAATATTACTCGAAACCTTTGTTTTTTTATTATTATTTTTTTATTTTTTATTTATTTATTTTTTTTTTTTGTTGTGACTCATCAAATATTCTGTTTATCTTTACACTGACTTTTTATTAGTGCGATTAATCAACAACTTTCTCGTCCTCAGTGACAATGAAAACTGACAGGTGCTAATTAAATTACATGCATGTCATCTCCCTATTGACGCTACATGGATTAGAGTTGTGTAAAATTTTAGGGAAGTTTCTCAAAAATAAAAAAGGGGGGAAATTGTTGCCGAGAGGGTCTACAAGTGCAATTAGGCCCTATCCCAAGGAAAAAATGAAGTCAACAGCACGCAGTGTTCCCAAGCGGTCTCCCATCTCAGTACTAACGACGCCCGACGTTGCTTAACTTCGGTGATCGGACGAGAACCGGTGCTTTCAACGTGGTATGGCCGTTGACGACTAAGGTCATGCTTGCGTCGCTCCTTGCCCGTAGCCTACGAGAACGGACGTTCATTCGTGCGTTCTACGTCCTACGTTTCACTCTCGTAGACAACCATTGTTTAATAGGTCGTTCAGCCAGCGCAGGCATTAGGGACCAAACATTTTAAGAAACATGGTGTTTTCTCTTTGGTGCAAGGGGCCTAGGCACCGTCCATAAATGTCTCAAAGCACTTGGTCAAAGAGGAAAGGGTCGGGGTCTACCTTAAGGTTGTCTTACAACGAGAGGGGGTAATTGGGCAGAACCTGCAGGTCTGTACGAAACTTCCTCTTATAGCTAAGGACCTCGGATAATTATTTCATACGTCAAGGAGGGCCGAGTTTTAAGAGGGGGGCTTGCCCCAAATTTTAAGGAACACGGGGTTTTCTCTTCAACGCAAAAGGCCTTGGTGCCGTCCATGCATAAATGTCTCAAGGCACTTGGTCGAAGAAGAGAGGGTCGGGGTCTACCTTAAGGTTGAGGGGGTAGTTGGGTAGAACCTGAAGGTCTGTACAGAACTTGCTCACAGCTAAAGACCGCGAAAAATTATTTCATACATAAGGAGGGCCGAATTTTAAGAGAGGGGCTTCGTCAGCCTCTGTTCCCATAAAAATTGTAAGACAGTCAGAGGAGCTGTTAAAGGCACGTTTGAGAGGCTTGGAGGACAAGGCGCATAAGTGCAGTTTTTGAAAAAATTGAGATATTAATGATTTCAAGTAAAACTAGTCTTAATGCATATTCTTTGGAAAATTTGCTCCCAAATTCCTATTTTTAAGCATCAAAAAGTCAGTTTGAACTTACTCTCCGCCGTAAGGATCCACGTAATTTCGAAACTTCAAACACGTATTTCTTAAAGTAGCAAAATCTGCACATATGCGCCTTGTCCTCCAAACCCCGCAGACGTAAATAGCATCCCCCCAATTTTCACCGCCCTAAACGGGCATGTAAGGTTTTCCAGCCTCGCCATGAGTGTTGACAATTATAAGGAGGTAAGAGCCTTACTCGTATTGAACTCCGGAATAGCTGAATCCCATTTGATAACAGAGATTCATGCAAGTTCGCGGCGAATTGGTCTTCGTCAGATCGATTTTGAAATCCGGCAACACTCTCCGGTGCTGGAGTTGAGCATCTTCTCCTGTAGCTTTTGGCGGGCTATCTGAGTAGCAACCAATGAGTCTTCCATTCGCGGGCACATCTGCAATGAGGAAAACGGATTCAGTTCAAGATTGATAGCGAGCAATTTCGTATTACCTTCAAAATGGATCGTATATTCGATAAATCAAACAAGTCAGAAACGGACTGGGTCCTCGAAGCGGCCCAGGAAATCGCCAACAGACGGCCTATCGCGGTGCCAATGTGGACTCCCCCCCCCCTCCCATCATTTTTCGATATTAACCCTAGGTATACCTAGGTCATTTTTCAAAAATTGCCGAAGTTAGATTACATTGCCAGAGTTCATTTTTGTGTGAATGTGATACAAAGAATATATATCCCTTGAAATTTTGCCAGATTTGTGACAAAAAAAAGTCCACTTTCTCTCCCTGGAAGACAGCTAAGTTCGACATTTTCCGGACGATAAAACGTAACATCATTCTAACTTGAAAAGTTTCCGCTCGTAAATCATATTTTCACCGGAAAACATACGGGATTACAAAATCTCTGCTGCTCTGTGATCCTAGGATTGCAAGCTCGCGGTGTACACTGTTCGGTAATGGTGTAAACGGGGGTAGGTTCGACACCGAGAAAATACGACTTTTCAACGACTTGAGCGCGCACCGTGGTATACGCGCAATGCATGGAGTATCCTGCAGACTTGTAAGGCGCTACTGTGCGGCGGGCGCAGCGCACCGTCTTGTGCGCGCAATGCATGAAGTATCCTGCGGTCTTGTAAGGCGCTACTATGCGCTTTGCGTCGGCCGCGGACACACTGTGTTTGACGCGATTTTTCAAACTTGCAGCATCAGCGGTGGTGTTCAACTCATGATTTTAAAGTTTTGCTACAGTTTGTTGAATTATTGTCATTTCAAACGATAAAACATTAAATAAAACCCAACCAATTTTCTTCTCTTCATTTACACACTGATAAAAGCAAGGTGGAAGAAATCAAGGTTGTCTTTACCGCGGTGTATGATGTCAGAAACTTGACTTTTCAATGAGCGATATTTGTCTCGGCTAATATTGAACGTAGAAAGTTGCTGTTCAGACATATCTTATTAGTTTTAGAGAATCTACCAGAATCAAGCATCAAAACACGATTCTGTGACCAGCGCAACTGACCCATTCCTCGTGCTTACCGGTAAGTCCAGTTGCGTAAACGCTGAGTCGCCATCCACTGCCGCATTTTTTTGAATCGTCGCCATCGCACGGCGAACTGCACTCTATATCGTCTACTTTCTTCTTCATGATCAAGTCCAGTCTCTTATTTGAACAGTAACATTCTTTCCTTGGACGCAGATCAAAAAATCATGAAGTTAGTCATTTCATCATGAAAAAGTCACGTTTTCTGAAGGAGAAAGTACGAGTACCTAGAGATGGCTAAATTAAAAATGAATGGAACAATTTTTGAAAGATTTCATCCCTCAGTGAATATCGTATCGATAAGTTATCAATGGTGCCTGCATAGCCAGCATAAAATATGTTGATGACCGTAAGGTCCACTGAAAGAAAGTTACGGACTGCATAGACACACCACCCGTTCCGGGCCCAGCGGGCCAACAGTTCCGGCTGCTAGAGCCGTGGCGCCCGCGTGGCTTCAACTGCTCCGGGTGCTACATCCGGAACTTTCGGCTCCTGAGCCCGTGACGTGAACGGTGGTACAGCGCCCACAGCCGGAGTTTTTTTTAGTGACGGAAAATGCCCAGGAAGCCCTGATGACATTCCTACTGAATTGGTGTGTTGTGTATGTTGCCTATCTATTGATTGAAGGGACATTGCAAAAATTGAAACAGGTTGCAATTTTTCGTTGCACAGCAAATTCTCTAACCATCTAACACATGACACTTATTTATTGATTATTTAAAAGCGGCATTAATGGACCAAAGTATGTAAAAATACTGCAATTTTACTGCATTAAGTTGCAATTTTATATTTCAATATTTTCATTGTACTGTTCTACTTGAGTGCTTAGCTCCAATGGACTACTCTGGACGAGGCAGAAAATTAAGCATTCTGCTACATGTTTCTTACCCAAATTTTCACGTAAAACACAATTCGCGCGACAAAAATTACTGAAATTACTGAAAACTCCGAACCAAGCTTTTAAATGTTTCTTGACGCGTGAATTCAAACCCCCCGCGCATGAAAACACAATAGTCCATGTGAGCCATATCGCACACTAAACTTTACCATGACAATCTCTGCGATATGAAAATCTGGCAAGCTCAATCTTGCCGCTTTGGCTCAGCTATAGCAAATTTTTTACACCTTGAACGATGAAGATTGGGAAAGGATTGGTGCTCGAATGAAAAGCATGTCAAAACTGTTGTAAGGTGCGATTTGACTCACGTAGAGTTTTGAGTTTCTTATGACTGGGCAATTCAAATTTCCTGTGCCAATGTAAAATTAAAACGTTATTATCTTAGTTAGGAGTTGATTTCATTAATTTTTGATGCAAGAATCCTGTTCTACATGAAATTCTGGTTAAATAATATGTATCAGAGTGTTTAATTTTGTACCTTGTCAAATCGTGGTCCATTGCGGCTATGTAAATCTCCTCTATTATTCATTTCAAAGTATTAAGGTGGAGGAGATTAATTTTAAAATACAAAGTGAATCTATTGCTAATGCAAATGAACCTTACCCCCACTGAAGTCCCGATAGCTTGAACCCCTTTTTAAAACAAAACTCGAAACACATTTTCGGCGTCAACCCGTTGAAGTCTTGACGAAACCCGGACAGAAGTCTCTCCGATAAATTAAATATTGTTGATATTCCCGCGTTTTCCTTGAAGCAACCCTGGTAAAAGCCGCTAGGCAGAGCTCCTAGTCCTGTGTAGAACATGTCATAGGAAGAGATATGAATAAAAAACGTTGGCAAGGACGAAATTCAAACTATGGTGAAATTCCGCCAGAAATTTGGCCAAAATTTAAGAAGAAAAAATATATATATTTGCAATTTGCAATCTCAGATCATGATTAGGCAGCTTTGAAAGACATAAGATATCTCCACAAAAGAGGGAGATCTGCCTTATTTAGTTTGAGGGATGACATAATAGTAACCAATTCGTCGTTTCCGGGACGGAACAACCATTCCAAGGTTGCATAATTGACGCAAACAATTCTTTTTTTTGTGCTAATATACACCTGCATGAGTTCAGGAGAAAAATCAGTAAAATTTTCAGTCAGTTTCTAAGATTCTTATGGCAAAAATGAAATTTGCGGGGGAAATTTGGCAACACTGAAATGAATTAACGTTCTTTCGTGAGGCAACGGATGAATTGAACGATTTTTTAAAAATCTGTTTAGCACGAGCGTCAACCTTTACGTGCCGTATCCATCGAGAAAGTGTCAGCTTCAGAGCTAGCGACACTCAAAATAACGCAATAGGTTTGTTAAACAGATATCTACATATGAACCCAGGTAGCAGTGATCGCGATACGTTGCGATTTGATCGGGGAATGTACCGCGATTTTGTCGACGTTCATTTATCGCAATATTATCGAACAAAAAATCGTGATAAATTACGATAAAATTTTGATTTTATTAAACGCGATTTTACAGAGATGAAATTGCGACAAAATCGAGGATAATGACTCAGATGATGATGATCTTGGCGATTTTATCACCAAGAAATCGTGAAAGAATCACAACTTAACTTTAAAATATTGCAATTTTTCCCTTTAAAAATTCTACTTGGGGACTTTCCCAGATCCGGTGTCGCCCTACGGCTTTTTAATTAAAAGAGGTATTCATTTCGTCAAATTCTATGGAAACGCTAGCATAACAACTCTCTTGAACGGCAAGGAAATGTGTTTACCTGACACAGCTGTAGTGTAAACATTCATTCTGTAATTGCCACCACATTGTTCCTTAGCATCACCACTGCAGGGTTTCGAGCATTCGGATTCGGGCCGTTTAGCGATTTGAGGCGGTCGATTGTACCCACAAAAGCATTCTGACCTATAAGCAGCAGGGTGAAGTAAGATTAGAGGAACCTCGGTTAGATTTTGTGGCTGTCAGCTGAAGGAATGTACCAGAGCACACGTCATGTATATTTCGAGAACTAATATGTTTGAAAATATGGAAAACACGTCAGCAAATCTTTTGATAGATAAAAAAAATATACAATTTAAAGAATGTGTCAATCATCAAAAAATCATCTAATTTTAAGTCGAAGCTGTTGTGGAATACTAATTGGTATTAATGAAATACAAAAAATGAGAGAATTACAAGTTCAAAGGTTCCAAAGAAAGGATTACCTATTTGTCTTAAATCGTTCTCGTATATATTCTAATTTAAAAATGATGTTTTGTGACTTAAAATTATTGTTACCAGCGATCGAGCTATTAATTTTTTTCGTTTTTCAACTAATTTAATAGTTCGCTGGTAGAGTGATACGGGTGTTGAGATACGAATACCTATGGACGAAATAAAGTCTGGTAATTCCAGAGTTTTTACAGTCACCGGTTCAGTTCATTACTGGCCCTGGTAAAAATTGGCAGTAGAATCTGTGTTCCAAAATACCATAGACCTACAGCCGGCTGTAAGATTTCCAATAGCTTCTATAGCCGGCAACACAATTTCTTATAGCCTTTTATAGCCGGTGGTGATTAAGATATAGCCAGGCGATAAAGTATATGCTAAACGTTACTAATTACGGATGCCAGGACACAGTGAGTTTTTGGACTACCGCTCTCTTTTTGGGCCGTAGTATCTTGATTTATTTTGCGAGGAAAGCTCCGTACATTTGAAGGATGCCTGTCATTCCTACTATGTTGGAGCGCCTTCAATTTCGATACTGTGCAATACCTCTGGTGTGAAATAGTTGCATCAAGCGCCGCCGTGCGTACGCTGCGGCGCGGCGCAGCGAGCGGGCAGCCAGCGTGAAACGCGCATTGGCGCCTACAAACCTAACAGGGATACTTCACGCAATATGCAATGCGTGAAGTGTCCCTGTTAGGTTTGTAGGCGCCAGTGCGTCGCCGCTCCGCTTTGTGTTAGGCTCTAATATTTAATCTCGTGGAGTCAGCGTTTTTCAACTCATGACTTTCAAATGTTTGCACACTCTGTATGGATTATTCTCATTTTAATTGATGAAAAAAAAATATGTAGTAAAGGAAAATATAATGTGCGCTTTGTAAATATTAAGGTGATTCCGTACAAACTTAAGGATTTACAGAGCACAAGAATTTCTACACAATTTCTTATAGCCTTTATAGCCGATGGCGAAAAAGCAACAGCCAGACGATAAAGTGTAAAGTCCGGCGATAGGAACTATAGCCCGGCTGTATAATTTTTTATCGCTACGTGTAGCCCCGCCGTATGTTTTTTTCCACTTTCTACAGTCAGCTATATGATTTTCTATCGCCTTCTTCAGTCGGCTATAAGAACTCCTATATGGTATTTTGAAACGCAGCTCCTATCGCCAATTTTTACCATGGGAGCCACGAAAATCCGGGCAGAAGCGGATCCGGCAATTTCGCAACACCGGATTTCCTCCACTTCAACCTATGCTTAATAATCGATTGATGTCGGAGCACCTAGCCCCTCCAAGAATCGATACATTTTCATAGGTTTAAATGGAGAGAAGACTATGTTGCCAATTTGCTGGATCCACCAATGATTTCGGGGGATTTTGAGTGCGTGAAAGAAAGAAATAGTTAAATTACAAGGCGCATACCCCCATTGTGCTCCGGCAAAGGGATAACCTCCCTTTGAACAAATATCGATGCATGCGCTAGGAGTCAGTTGATCGCTCCATTCTCTGATTTCGCCCAAAAGTCTGTTCTCACTTTGATCTAGATAGCAACCCAAATATTCCGCACTGACTTCAATTGTTACTAGAAAAGAAAAGACAATTCTGGTTGTTTAATTTAATAAAATAAAATAAATTAATAATTAAGCACTCGAACGGAACACAACAGACAGAACTAAACAGAATTTGAAAATATATCTCAATCTTTTTCGTAGTTTCTTTCTTCCGCAAATAGATAGAGACCTAGGTTCCAAATTTCAGATTCTGAAGACAATTCTGGTTGTTTAATTTAATAAAATAAAATAAATTAATAATTAAGTACTCGAACGGAACACAGCAGACAGAATTAAACAGAATTTGAATATATAGCTCAATCTTTTTCGTAGTTTCTTTCTTCCGCAAATAGATGGAGACCTAAGTTCCAAATTTCAAAATAGTTTTGATAGGCTTTTATTGAAAAAAATATTATTAATCCCAAGCAATATATGAGTATACGCTATTAAGTGGCATCTGAAGGAAATCGGGGGCATTTTTGGAAAAATTCAGATTTAATCTATTTTGAGTCGAACACTTTTCAGAGTACATTTTGTGAGAAAATGTCTCAACCTCAACATTTGAGTAAAAGTTTCTTTGGGCCATAAGCCTCCGTAATTTTTTTAAGATTAAATTTTAAGTCCCAAAATTTTAAAAATATCACCCATATCCTTCTTCTGAGATACTGTTGAAGTATGTCCAACAATAAAAAACGATTGCGTCCCTAAGTCTCCAAATAAATGGCAACAATATTGATTTTACGTTAAATTGACAAACAGGAGAGAAGGGTTTTTAAATATCCTCTTACATTTTTTTTCTTTTTTTTTAAAACCGTGCACAATGCAAAATTTTTTACAGTTATTCTGGAAAGGGAAAATCCGATCGCTCCACCCCCGCTACCTTGAAAAGAGGCACGGATATGTAATGAAAAGAAAAAAATTCATGTGCCTATCACAGCAGTATGACCCAGGGGTCAATACTCTGTGGCGAAGGTCATGGTCAAGTTCAGCCGTTCATAAATTGTTATGACTGCCACAGGAAGACCCTCGCACGTGTTTCAAGTCTGCTGCATGATCAGAGCAGTTATGTGAATTGTAATTTTCAATACGCACATTTCTTGCGGAAAAATTGTCTGGTGTTTTCTTCCGTTTTCTTCTTTGATCACCATCCAAGAAAAATTCACGGAATTACACCTCAAATGAAACTTTCGCGCCACATAATTAGTTTCGTGAAAAAAGGATCGAAATGAAATCAAAATGTAACCTGCCAATGAAAGACTGATGATCAGTTTTTGAAAGCTCTAAGGACTAATGATCAGTTTTTGAAATCTTTGAGGCACATCTGTGCTTTGGGCGCTTTGGTCATAGGCGAAATGAGGATATTTTAAGGTAGGGGGGCAAAGGGATACCTCGTCGAAGGGGGTCAAGGGGACACGAAAAAAAACCACTTAAGTAGAATTTGTAAGACGCATTCAGCTCTACAGAGTGGATTAGAGGATTTCCCTAGCTTCAAAGTGAGGTCAAGGGGGCTTTGGCTCGGAATAATTGAAAACCTGAGTCGTCTCAGTAGCAATTTTGAACAGCTCTTACCAACAAATTGATCGAATTAAAATTTCAGAAGTGAAAAATATGACACATATTTATTTGGCAAAATCTCTCACATTTCTTGGAAGGGGCAAAGTATATTTGTGGGGAGGCAACCCCCTAAGGTCCCACACTAGTTCCACCCATGGCTTTGATTAGATATTTAATACTACGAGACTATAAATTTGTTGCGATGGCAATACTTCTGGTACATCGACGCGAAAAAAGTTGAAAATAATTATTGCGGTGTTGAAAGTTAAATCGCCGGGGATCAAGCCAGCATTTTTTACGTTTCCTGAGCAAGGGATTTATCAGCTGTCTCAACAGCAGTGATCACTAAATAGCTGTAACTTTCCACGTATATACATAAAAAATTGAGAAGCTTTCAAGTAAAAATGGTTGACATTTCTTTTTCCTCTTTCTCCTGCCACCACGGAGAAGCAACAAAAATGACGTCAAACGCAATCGGTGGTGGAAGTCGTTGACTTCTTACGATCAATTGTTGAGTAATCGCGCACCATCATGACGTCACTTTAAACTATTCAGGAATCTTGAACTATGGCGGGAAATTCACACGTGGGCTTTCGATTGGCTGAAAACTATTGGGGGCGGAATCGCCTGAAAAAAAAACCACTACCTTGACAAAAACAAAGCACAAACAAGGATGAAAACCCGAACCGGTGAAGCTTAAACGAGTACATCTTTAACCGAGGCTGGATAACAACTGGCTTGGCAAATCCAAACATTTGCGATCTTGCTTACGCAGGGTTGCCAACTTCAGCATAAGAACACAAAATCGAACTGCTAATCGCAGGGAATGATTTGGCGGGTGTCACACGGAACGGCAAGCGGATTTATGATCGCCATTCTTCAAATGTATTTAAAGGGGTAAAAATTTAAAACATCTTAATTATCAACGGGTCTTGCAAAGGTCGAGAATATCGCGTCGAGTCGCGTCGAAAGACAGCTTGAATGAAAATCAAGATTCAAAACTAAGCGCCATCAGATGTTGTTAAGATTGTGTGTGGTGTTCCTTGTTGTGAAAGTATCGTGGCCGCCTTTGCTTCGAGAAATTATTAATCGAAAAGTTATCTCATTGTTATTTTAATTTTGAAGCTGAAGTTTTTATTCTAAGGCTGCCAGCGGGCCGATTATTGAAATTGATAGCCAAAGCTATAGACAAAGAAGACATAGGTGGTATAAAGCAAAACTATTGGTTGAAATGGGTGGTTCCTATAGACTAAGGGGGAAAATGATAGACTAACTGTCGGGTCTCTCGTGGGTTGCCGTTAGTTAGTCTATCACCTACCTCCTTTGTCCATTGCAACCACCCGCTTCTACCAATAGGATCCCTCCAAATCCTTTTTGTCTTCTTTGTCTATTGCTTTGTCTATCAATTTCATTAATCAGCCCGCAGATGCCGTCTATTCTACCGTGCTGAGGGAAAGCGCCATACGAAAATTCGAATATTTCCAAATTTACATCCAGAAAACATTTGTTTTTGAGAAAAGTTATGAATATTTTTCATTGAAATTATCGTAGACTTTAAAGCAAATTAGGAACAAAATTCCCTGAAAATGTAGAAGAAAAATACTTGAAAATGTTCCTAAAAACTCGTGGCTTTTCAACGAAGTTTGACAACGTCTGAAGGCTCAAACGGCGTTCTTCCTTAGCACTACAGTGTTGGGGGATAGAAGTGGACAAATCTTAGTATCATCTGGTGGTGCTTAGGATGTTTGTTCACACTCTTCAAATGCCTTTCTTTTTATGAAATTTTTAATAAGAGAGACTCGTACATCTTAGCAACTCTTGACGGTGATGTAAATATTTTCAATTCCCTTCATCCATTTATGAGGTATTTTCATGAATACTAATTGAATGACAAACATTCCTAACCGAAAGCTGTATTTTAATATATCTGGCAAATATATGTCATGAAGATAAGAGGTTATCAATTTTATAAGTCATCGGGGTCATTATGCGGTAGGTACACTTTTTAGAGATGAACTTAGCCACGTACTTTGATTACCTGTTCAGTTTTGACCAGAGGCTAGGATTTAGCTTTTGAAATGTCCCTCTTGAGTTAAAAGAACCATTCAGACCAAGAACTCCAGCTTTTAAGTCCTAACATCTCTCAAGAACAACAGATCATGAGACCCGCAGCAATCAAAGTCATCATCTTAAAGAATTGCATTTGAAGACTTTGGGGTTTGCTCGTAGATGTCTATAGGACATTCTTGGCTCTTGTGGCACGTATTTTGAAGATTGCCCTCCAATTTTCCTTCGAAGCGATTGTCAACTTTAAAGTGGAATTGTTGCACTGGAAAGATTAAACAGTTGATCAATTGTTTGAAAAATTCTGAATTTTAGGACGTATTTTAAGAATCTCCTGAAGTCACACCACGCTGTAATCCGTCAGGTAATTTTCCACAAGATTTAAGATCGAGGAACATACTGAAATAACTTCAAAAGTACTTCCCGGGTGAATATTATAAATTCTTTTGCGTTTCGATTTGCGATATTCGCTCAAAACATACTCTTGGAAGTTTCCTTGCTCAAATTTTGCGTAAAAATACCTCAATTACTCCAGCGTGATGTAGTATTCGGGGATCTTTGAGGAAAAAAATCCTAAAATCCAGAAATTAGCAATTCGTCGTTCCTCGGACGAAGGAACGTAACTATATTCCAAGGTTGCAAAATTGACTCAAACAATTCAATTTTTCACAAGAATGTACCTGCGCAATTTTTGTTGAAAATTGATCTGATATTGGCGTGAGGTCAGAAAAAAATTTTCAATTAGAAATTCCCAAAATTCTCCCGGTAAAAGTGCATTTTGCACGAGAAAATTTAGGAACATTGCAATGGAGTTACGTCCTTTTGTGAGAGAGACGACGGATTGATCCATCAACTGTTGAATCGTTATCCGAAGTGGTGTAAAACCACTGTAAGCAAAGGATGAGTCTTGCTAGAGATGATGGAACTGGACTTGAGAGACGAATCGTTAAATTGTTGATTTTTATTAGTGTCTTTCATATCTGGCAAGGCAGGTGAAATTCCCATGTCCGTTCGCCAACGATGAGACGTGACGTCATCACATCAGGGAAGGAGGGGTCAACGTGAAGAATGAAATATTGATAATGACTGACTGACGTTTTAGCGCACTCCATTTAGCATCGTCGCGTCGCGTCGGCATCCAACCGGTTTTCCGCGTGAGGTTGAGGTCATCTCGACGATCCAAAATTATCATTTTTTCGCTAGGTGTATCACTAGCATATCGATAGCTGAATGTGAGCTCAGTAACCAAGCATTGTGACGTTGCAAACTATCCGTTATACTTCATTTTTTTATTTATTTATTTATTTTTTTTTTTTATTGTGACAGTAATAAACTATTTTTCTCCTCTTTAATTTCTGTGATTTTTACGCAAGGTTATTTCTGTGATTTTAACATCATTTATGAAGAATATTCTGCGGAAAAGAGAGGTATTGGTAAGGGCCGTTTGTTGACCCACCCTGAATTTCCTCGACTCTGGGATTTATTGCTCATTGAAAGTTTACATTTCAAGGAATATATCATGATTTGGCCATTTCCAGTTTCTTTTCGGGCTCTGGCCTAAAACATGGGTCTGAAAGACGATTTTGGTGAAAAATGCGGGTTTGCGTCCGAATAACGAAAAATTGCGCGGAAAATAACCGTAACTCTTTTTATGTCTTAAAAAAAATTGCTTAAAATGTCGGTTTCAAAATTTAACTATAGTTTGGTCTATACCGACAGTCAAATTGTAGTTATCATCATTTAAGATCTACCATCTAGTTCTTGCGGATTGGAGGTGGAGGTGTCAGTTTGTCTAGATCCTTGAATAAGGAGAAAGGAGCATTTACAATGGTGGACATGCCAAAACGGGTAAAGTTTAATAATAAATTAATACATTTTCACGCAGTCTTTTTGTCTTTATTATTCCGAGGAAAGACAGAATGTATGTATCGTGACTCCAGTTAACTATGAAGACGCGAAACAAACTACGATTGCAAAACAGCCAGGTATTCATGCAGCTAATGCGTCACATAAATCGGAAATCCACATTTTTATTTCAGGCGTCTCAAGTTGTAAGTGAAACTTCATCATCATTTATAGTCAAGTTAAACTGCGGTGATTTTGATCGATTTGACGATAAATGCCGAATCTTCTTTTCGCCAAGTTGTTTGCCATTCCTGCCGGTTATTCCAGAATGACGTCATTGCCTGCCAACAAAATTTCCAATTGGTTAAAAATTTTAATGATAAAAAGTTAATTGATTTTGCAAGGGTTGATATCGATGGCTAAAAAGTGTGAGACCGCGTATCTTTGTTTGCGACGTTGTTAACTTCCGGTCATACCTTGGAAAAATAGTCAATGTGATTTTTTGAAAACTTCCTTGATTTTTCTTTTGTGTTACCAGAATATTTAGTATGAATTTTAAGTTTCAAGCTATGAAGCTGACTAGCTCCTCTTCGAAGAAATAACTATAGCAACGGATATTCTGAAACACTGCGCAATGGAGATCATCTACGTTGTGTCGCACTGTAACCATTGATATTTATTTATTCAGATTATGAAAAAATACCTGTAATAATTTAATCTCTATGTGTACTTGTCTTTAATTTTTAAATGAGAAAGAAACACCAAGAGATGTGGCCCAAGAGTAGGTAACATGGAGGTAAAATAGTAGTGGGTCCACACAATTTTGCGGGGAAAACAAGGACAAAAAGTTCAAAAATTTCAATTAGAGTCAAAAAGTTTTGAGCTCTATTGAGTACCAGCATGAGACTGACTGAGGGGGGAAGAGTGTTCAGTGTGAGTGTTAAATATTAAATACATATCTTCATGATATGATGTCAATCATGATAATTGCTTTTAAGTACCTATCCAATATTGAGATACGAGTCAATTTGACATCAGCACATGAATGCACGATATAACATAAGTTATTCTCGGTCAAAAGGGACGAGTAAACCTTCCTTTGCTGTTCATTTCTTCAGCCCCAAAAAAACTTTTACAAGGAAAAATAATAGTATTACCCTAGGATCGCTGTTGGACCATGGTTTTGGTTTGCCATTGTTATCGCATCCATCTTCAAAGTCTCGTATACCACCAACAGAAACACCAAGACTTACGTGAAACTAAAATGCGAGGATAAAAGAATTTTAAACATCTTCAGAATATGTGATTCGAGAGTATGAATTGAACAGGAAAGGATGACGGAGAAATGCAAAATTAGAGGAAAAAAATAAAAATAAAAATCCGTAATTTAAATGGCAGTGGGTCTACATCTTTCGATGTACCATATCTGATGTATCTGTATAACTTGATGCATATGTATCCGGGCGGCGCTCAAGCCAGGACTCAAGCATAGGAGCGACCCATAAACAACTCCATATAGAATGCCTGGTAAGTTGGTGTTACAAATTAATCCAAATGTTCAGCTAGATGTGTTACCGCCAAGGCATTATCCAATAAAACTGTCAGAGAAATTTGTTCAAAAACTAGAAAGCCTAGAAATGAGAGGAATTGTGGAGAAAGTACCGCCAAATGAAGCAATCTTGTGCGTCAGTAATTTATTGGTCAGAGAAAAAGAAGATGGAGACCTAAGATTATGCTTGGACCCTCAGAACTTAAATAAGTGCCTTGTGCCAAGAAAATTTTCACTCCCCACCTTGGAAGAAATAGGTGCTAAATTAGCTAATAAGAAATGGTTTACCATTTTTGATCAGAAAGAAGGTTTCTATCACTATGAATTAGATGAATTTTCCAGCAGGCTATGTACTTTTAATACCCCGATTGGTTTGTATAGATTTAAAAGACTCCCATTTGGAATAAATGGTGGATCAGAGTATGCACAAGAACGTAACACAACAGCGTTTAAAGATGTTGAAGATCTTTTAATTTTTATTGATGACTTCATCATAGCATCTAAAACTGAAAAGGAACATGATGAAACAATAACCAAATTTGCAAACGTCGCTAAGGAAAACGGTGTTAAATTTAAACTGGCAAAATTCCAATATAAAAAACCATCAGTTAAATTTGTAGGTTTCGTTTGGTCTGGAGAAGGAAGAGAAATAGACCCAGATAGAGTAAGAGCTCTCTATGCGATAAAGGATCCCACGAACAAAAAAGAACTCATGAGTATTTTGGGATTCATCAATTATGTTAGAGATTTTGTACCTAATTTGTCAGGAGATTCAGCTCCACTAAGAGAGTTATTAAAGAAAGATGTAAATTTTGCGTGGAACTCTTATCATGCTAAAATTTTACAGGAAATTAAAGATAAAATTGCGGCAGCATCCGCCCTGTGTAACTTTGACCCAACGAAACAAATAACACTTCAATCGGATGCTTCGAAATCAGGTTTAGGTGCCTGTCTCATGGCCGATGGAAAACCAGTTGCTTATTTTTCCAGAGCTTTAACTGAAACTCAACGCACTTCATGGGGCCAGATAGATAAAGAATTCTTTGCTATTGTATCTGCTCTAGAGAAGTTCTATCAATATTTGTATGGCAATGAAGTAAAAGTGGAATGTGATCATATGCCAATTATACATTTAGTTAAGAAGCCAATTCACAAAATTAAATCCAATCGCTTAAAAAATTTTTGTCAAAGATTGTATAACTTTAGAATTAGAATAATCTTTAAGCCAGGCCGCAAAATGGTCATCGCGGATTTGCTATCTAGACAGTATTTAAATGATCCAGTGCAAGATGACCCAGAATTAGACAATTATGTTCATTCATTAAATATAGAAGAATTAGATACTCAAAATGATCTTCAAGAATTCCAAATTTCAACTAAAGATGATGCGGTCTTAACACATCTCAGAGAATACCTATTAAATGGTCGGCCTGATAGGAAGGAATTGTGGCCGGACGAGTTAAAACCCTTCTGGAAAATTAAAGATAGCCTATATCTAAGTGACAATAGCATAATATATTATGATGACAAAATTGTTGTTCCGTCTAATCTCCGTCACAAAATTCTAGCGCTTCTTCATAAAGGTCATTTCGGCATCACAAAAACTATGATGAAAGCTAATGAATTATATTACTGGCCAGGAATGGCAACTGAAATTGTAAACTTCTTGCGTGCTTGTACAGTCTGTGAAAAATTCTCACCCAATAACAAAAAGCAAAAATTGTTACAAATTCCATTACCTGAAAATGTATTTGAAGTCATAGGTCTTGACTTTGCTGAAATAGGTAAAAGTTACTTAATTTTAGTAGATTACTTATCCAAATGGATGGAGATCTTAGAAAGATCCTCACATTCCGCTCAATCAGTTATAACAGCCTTAAAACCAATATTTGCAACTCACGGTTACCCAAAAATTGTAATATGTGATAATGTACCCTTTGATGCAGCAGAGTTCAAAAAGTTTATATCTGACCATAATGGTAAGGTGGTAACTACCAGTCCTTGTTATCCACAGGCTCATGGGATGATAGAAGTATATGTAAGAATTGCTAAAAAGATTATTTTAAAAAGTTTGGAAACCAAAACTGATTTATATGAAATGTTACTAGAATATAGAAATATGCCACTAGCCAGTGTAAATGTTAGCCCAGCCCAAATTTTACTAAGCCGCAGGCTTCGCAGCAATCTACCCATTGATTCAAGGTTACTAAAACCCAAAATTTTAAATTATAGAACAAGAATGGTAGAAAACCAAGTCAGAGTTAAAGAACTGTATGATAGACATGCCCCAAGAGCCCCACAAAGTTTTCAAAATGGGCAAATTGTTGCAATTAAGCAAGGGAAATTTTGGGAGAAAGGAACCATCTTAAACCATGCGGATACCCCAAGATCCTATTGGATAAAATTAAACAATGGAAATGTAATCAGGCGTAATGACTTTCATATAAAAGTTTCGAGTACTTCTACTCCAGCCCATGATCAACGACACAATTTTTTATTTGATCCAATAGAACAGGATGACCTCCCTGAACAACCTGCGGATAATCCGCAACCACCTATAATTCAGCAAAATTTACCAATCGAACGTCCAATGCGTGATCGGAAACTGCCGGTCTGGATGGCTGATTATTGTTAAGTTCATTATACTTGTAACTTCTAATAAAATTTTCAAGGGACCATATTAAGTAAATCCCATTCTCTTCATTCACATTCAATTCTCAGTATTACTTAATTAAAACTCAATAAGAGTAACCAGTATTTCTTTAAAAAATGTTCTGTAATCAATACTATGTAATGTTAAAACTTTCAAATGAATAATCTGTAAACTATTCTATAAATACTCTCATATGAGTATCTAAATGATAAGTAAATTTTCAATACTGTTCTCTAATCCCGACACTATGATGCTAAAAAAGAAAAAAGGGGAGATGATGTATCTGTATAACTTGATGCATATGTATCCGGGCGGCGCTCAAGCCAGGACTCAAGCATAGGAGCGACCCATAAACAACTCCATATAGAATGCCTAGAATGCCTCGTGTTTCATGTAGCAGAACCGTGAAAGCCTCTTTATTGTATTTTCAATAAAACCCCAGTCTGTCATCTCAACAGTATCATTATGCTTATTCTCCCGTTTTCCCCCCGAAACTATACACAAATCAATATCGTGACAGAAAATGTCGCCGAGTAGCAATAACTTAAGCTCAAATGAAATAGCAGAAAAATCATATCTTTTTTTAAATAAATTTTATCCTTTTTGTCTGCGTATCAAAGTCCGCACCTAAAAGTTTATTTTAAAGGACTGACTTTCATGTAGATCTTCCGGGCCCAATGACTCTTTCATACGTTACTTCCTCTTCTCATATCGTTGCACTGAAAAAAAATCTTGGTGTATTTACTAAGAAAAGGTTAAAATTACCAAGAATTCAGGGTTCTATTTGATCCCAGTTTTTTCTTGGTAAAATTACCATTTTTGGAATTGGTAATTTTATCGAGATATCTCGGGAATGAACTATGCAAAACGATAATCCGGGTATCGGAACTTGGCTGTTTTGAAAACGCCTTCAAATGTGGCGTGATACCTCACGCATTCCGGAGAGTTCAAATAGTTGTATCATTGCGCCGTAAGAATGTGACGGAAGATTACAATTGAAATCGCCTTCATGCACGCTGGCCTTTTCGATTTTCGTTAACATTTTTGCAGTCATGAATGCATAGCGGAATTGCGCTCCAGCTAGAATTGTATTTAGCAAATGGATGGTTTTTATACGAGGATTAAAAATAAATAAGTGATTCGGAATATAACAAAAGAATATGAACTATGCAAAACGATGATCCGGGTATCGGAACTTGGCTGTTTTGAAAACGCCTTCAAATGTGGCGTGATACCTCACGCATTCCGGAGAGTTCAAATAGTTGTATCATTGCGCCGTAAGAATGTGACGGAAGATTACAATCGAAATCGCCTTCATGCACGCTGGCCTTTTCGATTTTCGTTAACATTTTTGCAGTCATGAATGCATAGCGGAAGTGCGCTCCAGCTAGAATTGTATTTAGCAAATGGATGGTTTTTATACGAGGATTAAAAATAAATAAGTGATTCGGAATATAACAAAAGAATATGAACTATGCAAAACGATAATCCGGGTATCGGAACTTGGCTGTTTTGAAAACGCCTTCAAATGCGCCGTGATACCTCACGCATTCCGGAGAGTTCAAATAGTTGTATCATTGCGCCGTGAGAATGTGACGGAAGATTACAACTGACATAGCCTTCATACACGCCGGCTTTGTCGATTTTCTTTGACATTTTAGGCCGCAAAGTGGTCAGGTGTGCAGCCTCTGTTAATAAATAAACCGAATACTAAGTGATTAGAAACTAAAACTAATTACGGGTCGATCGAATGGTGCGATGGACGTCCCCGTGTTCCAGAGTTTGATTTCAGAGCTGGGAAAGCCGACTGCATCGCTGAGTTTCAAGCCGGGGGCATTTGACATCATGTTCTGCCGCTGCTTCCCATCAACCATGAACATAATATCATCTGAACATAAAAATAAGAGTGTTCATATTCAGCTTAAAATCTATGCAGGAGTGTGTCTGGTGCACGAGAGGCAAAGTCTCTCTTATATATAGGGGAAAAATACTTAGATCGAAAATTACACGATCGATGTTTGCTTATTTGAAACATTGAACGATATTACCACTCGGGTAGGAGATAAATCTTCGAGTGTGTGCTCCAATTATCTAAAAAAAAGTTGTGAATAAAGAAATATAAAATCTAACGTAAACTGTTGTCTTTTTTGTATTCTCTCAAATTTTTTTGGATTTCTTTTTCAATGCGACCATAAAAAACTTCCTGAATTGTTCAAAGGCTAATTTTTGTAACTGTAATCCCGAATTAACAGATCTGTATTGATTCTTATAATTTCGCAAATAATGTGCGAAAGTCATCTATTTTAAATCAGGAAAGGGCGAAGGGCGGACACACGCTTGCATCAAAATCGATGTTTTAAAAAACACCTCTGAAAAGTCAGTGTTTTCAGATCAAAAATAAACTTAATTTATTAACTTAATTTCTTAACTTAAAACTTAATTGGCAAAAAAAAAATCGTGAGAGACCCACTCTTCAATTAAAAATTAAATAAAAGGACTGCATCGTTGCCGCTGTTTTTAAAAATGTATGTTGATGACTAATCAATGTCAATTGTCAATGTGATATACTTTAATTGGACATGTGGGGG